CCACTACTCTGGGGAGATTCCCTTTGAGGAAACAAGTAGAATGTCCTCCTGATAGAGGCTGCTGAACATAGGCAGATGCTGGGGTTCCTCAGAGGGTTTCAGATACTGTTACCTGGTGTCTGTCTTTTGTTGGAGATTTTAACCCTTCCAGCAATAGCTGGCTTTCAGAGCTGGAAGGAGCTGCAAATAGACAAAGTTTTCTAGAAGCATCCACTCCCAGCACCATTGTGCTCTTCCTGTGATAGGAACAAAGCAGAGCTCTCTTGGTAGCTCATTGCTACCAGGCAGCCTGTTTGCCCTCTTGGTTTAAGACCTGTGATACTTGCATTTTCTGCAAAGCAGAAATTTGCAGTATTGACCTGCAAAGCAGAATGATTTAATTATTTAACAGTTCTTTTTGGAGAGAGGTATTTGTTTGGGATATTCATTTAAAAAAAATACACTGAAACATGATAATTGCAAATTGTGATCTCATTCTGAGGGTTTTCAAAAACATGCCGCCCTTGTGATGTGAACTTCCTCTGCTAGGGCAGGTGCTGCACAGCTGGGCTGCCACCAGGCATCAGCTCCTGCTTTACGAGTGCCAAAAGAAACCCACATTGAAGGGGTTATTACCCCCTAGGACCTAAGGCCTGAAATAGAGATGGGGAGCCAGCTAGGTCTCAGAATAATTTTATTAAATTCTGTGGCATGCTTTTAAGTTGAGCCATCTGAGGTTTTGGCTCTGCTTTTCAGCCATAATTGCAGATGCAATTCATTCATCAGCTTGTATTCCTCGCCTATGAAATTTTGGTGGTGACTTTTACTCACTCTGCTGTGCTGTGTCTGCTATACATAAATGCAACAACACTGCATATTTCTGCAAGTGCTACCTGCTTATGACAAGTTTGACATAAGCAAATGAGTAATACCTGCCTACCTAACGCAGTTTACCTAATGGTAAATACCTGCCACGAAAGTATTGACACAAACCAGAAATGTTTCACATTTATTCCTAAAAGTATCTCCAAAGTTTTCAAGAGTTCCCAGTTCGCAGCAAAATCCTCTGGAAAGTGAAGGTTAGGTGCTCTATGCTGTCCTTACTCCTTGAGGCACGAAAGAGCAGGTTGGTGGAGTTACTCTTGCCATCCTCTCTTTGGATACAGTAACATTTTCCTTGGAGACGAAATTCAGTGTCCTATTTATGAACTCCGGCACACAACAAATAAGTTGCTGCAATATGAAACATATTGTTGTCCAGTAGGACAGCTGCAGTAGCATTGCACACTGAGCATGTAATTTATGTTTATGCCACCACTGACAGTATGAAACTATAAACTCATGGCAAACCTGTGGCGATTATTGGGTTGACATTATAAAGACCTGCTTGCCTGCTGCTGAAGTATATCCTTACCTGCAAGGATACAAAATTCAGATGCTAGATGATGCTTTACCCCTGTCACTCCAACCACCCTAACCATCTGTGACATTTTAACTGCAGTTCTTTTTTAAAGAGATCAGTAAGTCAGCCTAGCATCTGTGGGACAGGTATGAAGCTTTTTGAAGGCTTTTCCTGGGTGCTTTGGGATGGAGTGACTGATGCTTCATAGTCATAAGCCACGGGGGAAAGCTGGCGAACCTCCTTTTTGGCTATTAGCACACATTCCTGGCAGATGGTTGCAGGGAAGAATATGAAGCTAACAGGGTGCTGCATGCTTAGAAGAGCTAAATATTTCCCTTGTGATGACTGTGTCCCTTCTTGGAGAGCAGTTGTTTCAAAGACTGAATGGCTCTGCTGTTGGCCCTCATTCCTGACAGAACAGTTGTGGACAGGGATATCTTACCTCCTGACTGAGCAGCGACATGCCTGGCGTGCTCATGCTTTTTGCAACTTCTAGGACTGACCACAGACACATCATAACTGCCCAGAGAAATTTTATTGGTACAGCTAAGGCACACTTGTTTTGCTTTAATAGCCTTGGTTTAGTAGTCCAAAGGTAGTACAAAGCACCAGAGAAATGCTGCTGCTCCTGGGCTTGCCTGTGGCCTCAACAGCAGTGTAAAGCATGAGTGTGCTTTAGAATAGGGGAAAATACTTGCAAAATTGCTATTTTTAATTGCTTTATTCTCCTATGAAATAGACACAGGTTTTTTTCCTGCATAAATAGGGACACACTGCAGGACTGATCTTCCTCTACAGAGGATAGAACAAGTACATCCTGTGGATAAGAGGGGAAACAGTTATGGAAGGTTACTTTCTGAGTTTGCATAGATAAATGCTTTACATGTATTTCTGCCAGACCGTAAGCAGAGGTTTTGCATGCAGGATACCGCCATGTCATCTATGTTCACATTAGTGGACTATGGATGCTACATGAATGTCCTTGAAAGGAAAAAGAGCTATGAATGCTGGGACTCTAAGCTAGTATATGTCTGAACTTTCAGTGGAGTATGTTCGAAACCCTACAAAACATGTGAAAAGATCCAGGGCTCCTGAAATTCATTGGATTTGATGTTGCCAGTCTTTCAGTGCCCTCTGGAGATGGTTTTGAAGAGAACTCCAGTGTTGCACTCTGAAAAGTTTATTTAATTTGAACTTTGCATTTCTATCCAAGGCTAAAACTTCCTGCTTGAAATAATAATGGTGGTGCCTGGAGGCAGACTGGTCCTCATAAGCTTGTGGTGTTTCAGTCCAGCTACAGCTTCAGTGTCCGAAGGCTGGCACACTGATTCAGTGTCTGTCTTTTGTCCTAGTGAATGTTGAAGAATGTATTAAATTTTCATGGAGGAACCAAATTTATCAGATGAATAATTCATTTCAGTCCCAATGTTTATGCAGAATGAACTTCCAGTGGTTATTCTAGTTCCACCAGCTCTACAGAAAAGTCTGTCACTTCTTCAGACAAGTCAAGTGGGGGGAAAATCTCTCAAAAAACTTAATCTAGTTCTTTTGTTGTTAGTTAGGTACCACAATAACCAAAATTATGTTCTCAGATATCAGCAGGGCTTGTGGCCTATTTTAACATAACACATTAAAGTGAGTGATGACTGGTTTTATAAGGTAGACCCAATGCAGAGTAGCTAAAAGTATGGAAGTACAAGGAAATTAAGCTGTCATTTTAGCAATAGTGTAAGCCTGATTACTGCTGGCTTCATAGACCATTAGTTTTTCTTTACAATTCTTCTTTTCCCAAATAAATATCATATTCATAGTGACTTTCTTAAATCACAAAGTTTTAAAGACTTTTATGTTAATTCAGTATTCCTCCCCACCTCCTGCTCCCTGCTTTCTCCCCACTCCCCCTTTCTCCATCTCCCCCCCACATTTTGGATACTCTCTCCTGAGAAGGAATTTTTTAGAGATCTTCTAAAGGTCAGCTCTGTTAGATGACTGTGCTGAGAAATCACATGACTTACGGTCCCTCGAGCCAGACTTTCGGTTTCCAGAATAGTTGCTGCCTAAAGGAATTGGTTAGCAGCAGCTTCTAATTATAAGCTGCCAAGTTCAGAGGTTATTGACGCTCGAAAACAGCCATGAAAAAGCCTTGGAATAGAAAACCAGCCTTTAAATGAGTTCTTAAGGCTCCTGGATGCTGTAATGAAATGTTCCCACACACACGTCAGTCTCTCCTTAAATGTGTTATGTCCATCCCCTGACATGTGTTCCAGTCAAGTTTGCAGATTTTAAACCCCTTTTGTGTGTTCTAAGTCTTCACCCTCACGCTGTTGCTGAGCCAAGGCTACATTCAATATGCCTGTTGATCATTTCTGTTAGCTTAACTGTGTATGCCCAGAGACGGCTGAATCTGCTGGGCAGCCTGCCAGCCCCCCATCCTGAACTCTACCAGCAATTCCACCTGTCACAGACACAAATAGTTATTTATATGTTCTTTCTGGTTATTTTTTAATTGCTGTGTATTCTGCCGTATTACTACAGATGTGTTTCTATAGAAGAAATATATACCTGGGGGTCTTGACATTCCAAGAATTAAAAAAGACTGAATACTGATACCTGGGGTTTGTAGGACTTTATGAAGGGGTACTTTATCAGTGAGTCTGCCTCCTACTGTAGTTTCAGGAGGATTTAGTCCTCCTAAGGTTTGCCAGGTAACAGGTCTTGGCAGCAAAATGATCCTCATTCAGCTAGATGACCTTCCTGGTGCTTCCGGTTGACATTGCAGAATGTTCATGCAGAGAAGTTGGAAAACATTTCCTTGATTTCTGAACTTGCTTTAAAAATACCCAGTGAAGGCAAAAATCACATGGAGAAAGGATATAAGAGGGGAAAGAAAGAGAAACTATGTGAAGGAAAGTAGAGATGGGAAGGAGTGATAGGAGTCTGGCAGGCAACAGTTTAGTCTCCCAGGTCTGGATATTAGATATCGTGTTCTTCTGTACTGTTAAAATGTAAAAGTAAAAATAAACTGAGGATAAGAGTTAGAAGTCAGCACTGAGAACTGCAGTTCCTGCAGATAGTGTGATGTGATAGAGGTGGTGGTGAGGGTGAAAGGGTGGCAGCTCTGAGGTTCGCTGACCTCTTTGTCATAATCCCATGCTGCTTCAGAGCCAGGCACAGTTCACATTGCTTCCAAACTCACTGCTAAAATCATTGTTCCTGCACTAAATTACTGGAAAAGGGCAAGATTCAGCCCTTTGAAAGGTTCCTTGACAAGGTGAAGTGCTGTCCAGGAACATTTATATCTCTACCTCTCACTGCTCACGGAAAGGGCTTCGTGAATAACTGGGACTTTTGCCAGCACAGGTGTGGTGGCTGCACATCACGTTTTTGTATCTCTAACATCTGTAGGATGACTAGCACTCCCATGCTGAACTAGTGCTCAGAGATGCAAGTGTACCTTTGTACTCAGAGTGTTCATGTCAATCATTTTGCAATTGCAATTTTGAAATCAGGATAAAGCATTCTCTCTAATGGCCTTGCAATGACAATTGACTTCATCTCAGGATATTTAATTGTGTGAATTAGATGGCAATAACTGACAAAGCACAGACATCCAGCTAAATTAGAATTTCTGTATTTATTCTTACAATGGTATTTTTGTAATATTAGTCTTCATAACTTGGTTGTCCTGTTGATGTTCTCCAAGTGAGGGGAAAATTGTTGAGCACAAATAAACCCTCTATTAAGGGACTGCAAATAGCAATGCCGCACTTAAGGGAGCTGACTGTGGCATGAAACAGGAACTGCCTTTTGAAGGTCCAGGAAGATATAGTGGCGTGAATTGGAATTGGGTTTTTTACATTTTATTACTGCTTTGCTTTGGTTATTTCTGCAAGAGTAGCTGTTGTTAGTAGGTCCAATGGCAGTTTTGGCAGAGGCTGGGCAGTGACCATCCATGGCCAGAGGCTCCCTGCCTTGCTCTGAGCTCTTCCTGACAAGCCGTCACTACTTCTTCTCTCTGGATTTGTCCCTGGGTGAGACAAAGGCAGCACAGGCGACAGCAATACCAGCGCAGACAACAGCTCCAAATGAGAGTATGCTACCAAATCCTATCCTGGCCTGTAAAGGGAAAGGAAAAGACAGGCTGGAAAAAAAAGAAGCAATTATATTTACCCCCAGGCATGCTAATGAAAAGCAAGCAGGGATAATCAGGGCAATTAAAAGAATGAGAGACATCTACCACATAAATAGAAGGGGTTTTTGCCCTTAGGCTGTGGCATTCATTAAGAGGGCACTGTCAGGGTACAGACAGACCACAGTGACCCTCCTGCCTCAGGGTGTCTGGTGAGGCCAGAGGCAGTGCTGGTTTGGACCCCACACCTGGGACTTGGTTGCCCCCAGGCAGTCTGTGGGCTGTGTCCCTGTCCAGGGGCTCAGAGGGAGCAGCAAGGAAGTGCTATGTGAGGCACACAGGGGCTTATCTCATGGTACTTACCTGGTCAGAGACACTCTTGCCATAGCGGAGCATTGTCACAAAGTGCTCACAGTTTTCGCAGAGCACATCATAGCTCATCTCCCTGTCAATGTAGCTCTCAGCACGCTTGATGATCTCCTTCACTGGGAGGGGGGTGCGGGAGCGGTCATACTTGTTGTTGACCTCCCAGTCATTATTTCCCACCACCTCCTTCAGGAGCTGCTTCTTCACCTTGGCCTTTTTGCTCAATGTTGTGTCACTACTGGCTGACAGGCATCGGATCCCTTCATCTGGGAAAGGCAGGAAGGAGATAAGCCAGGCAGAACCTATGTGGCCCCTCCAAGACCTCAAATGGGTTTCTGGCTGCTCTTTGAAAGGCCATCTACATACACAATTTTGGTCAACCAGCAGCCCACAGAGGGAGACAGGGCTCCCGGGGCACCACAGCACCCCCTCTGTACCCTGTCAGGTTGCATCAGCCTTACCTGCGGACGTCAGGTGGACGACATATCCATCCCCCAAGTAGAGGGCCCAGTGCTGGTAAACTGATCGTTTGATCTTGATCAGGTCGCCAGGCTCGGGTTGGTGCCGGCGGCGTGACATCCCAGGAGCCTTCGGTCAGGACACGGCGGTGCAGCTGGTCTGGCTCAGCACAGGGCCCAGTGGAGCGGGGAGGTGTGGGGTGTGCAGAGGCACCTGCCGGGACGGCAGGCACGGAGGCGTTAGTCCGGGCGACGAGGCATGAGCTGCCGGAAGCGAGCGGCCCCCGCGCCGAACCGCTCGGCAGCCGTTGCCCTGCCTGCGCCAGCGATGGCGAGCGGCCGCCCTGCCCACCAAGAGGATGAGTCGGCTCCCCCGCCCGCTCTTCCCCGGCTCCCCCGCCGCCGCCCCGGTCCCTGCGGCTTCCGTCCCGCCGCTGTCCCTTCGGGCTCTGGCTGTGCCCGACCGGTTCCCCTTCTGGCTGGCCGCACGCTACATCCCGGGGTTGCCCGCGGTGCCCGCCGCGTCCCCAGGCTCCGGGCACCTCGGCCCCTCGCCAGAGCCGCGCCCGCCGCCGCCCCCGACGGGGCGCATCCTGCTGGCAGACGCCCGCTCGCATCCCCCGAGCTCCGCTCCCTGCCCTTTCACATCGCCCCGCTCACCCTCGCCCCTGTTCCGCTGCTGCCGCCACCGCGCTGCCGGTCCGCTCGAGAGGGGGACGGGCCAGGTACGCCCCGCGGATGCCAGAAGGTCAGGGTCCTTCCTGGCGTCACTGCCGCCTCTGCCTGGGAACCGTCCCGTCCTGTCCCGCCCCCCCGTTCGGGGCTCCGCTCCCGAGGGTGTTGCCAAAACCACCTGTTGGGTGGGAACTGTGGTCCTGCCGGCGACGATGGCGTGCACCGCCACCCTGCAGGGAGCCTCTACGTCTGGGTGGTCCTCCCTTCCAGTGAAGGGCAACAGCATTGACTGCAGAACAAGAACCTCTGGCTGCTGATTAAAGATTGGCTTAGGAGCTGCTGTATTTTTTCACCAGTTTCTGTGTCTTTCTGTCCGCATACACCATGGAGGAGAAAATGCCAGGAAAAGCCAAGCTGCAGCCACAGGAGGTCCTGCCAGTGTTCACACCCTGCTCCGTCTCTGTGGCCCCTGGTACCGAGGGGAAAGCACTGTCTGCAATAAAGTGGAAGCATTTCCTCTCCCATTACAGCCTCTTTCAAAACTTCATCCTCATTTTGCTCCGTGTACTCTGCCCCAATCCCTCTCCATGTACATTGTCCTCTGGAAACAGCCACTGCCTTCTCCAGGACCAAAACAAGTCCCTGCTCTGAGGTACCCTCAAGTGCTAAGCCAGCTGTGCTCCACCACGGGATCAGCTACATGCAAGGCTTGTGTTTTCCTGATGCTCCCTCCATCCGTTACTGGGTGGGCAGGTTGGTGGTGGCACCAATGACTGTGGGTGCGTAGGAGCTCCTCTCCTGCTCTTGTTAATCTCCTCTCTTTCAGTCTGTGGAGTGCTGTGATGAGGGGCTGCCCAATGCCATTGTCACCAGCATTTCCCAAGTTGGCCCATGGGTACACTCCATCACATGTGGCTGCAAAATCCTGTCTAGAGGCTTTTAAAATCCTAACATACACAGTCACACAGGGTTATCCTTTTGGATTTCCCCCTCAGAAATAGGGGCAAGAGACTTTTTCTTACACATTCCTTACACAATTTTTATCTATTATATTATTATTTTAATATTTATGATAATCTAGCCAGTCAATTACATAAAGCATAATAATATAATACTATAAAAATAAACATGCAGCAGCTTGCTTTGTAAAAGTTCTCTTACAATCTCTGAGCCTCTTATCCCTCTTCCCCCCACACCAGGAAGCCCAGGCCTCTGAAGGACGGGTTTTAAGTCTATTTTGCAACATTGTCATCTCCTGAAGAAACTCCACTTCTCAAAGCAAACAGAAAACAGCTCAAAGCAAGCACAGTGCGTGAATATTCCCACACTGAATATTCTTAGGATTTTCCAGCTCTGAGGTCATCTTGAGCAAAACCAACTCTATGGCAAGTGATGGATTCTGCTGCTCCTCCTCACACACTCTCTTCGTGGTTCAGGCAGTGTTCAACCAAATCCTGTCAATGCACCCACCAGGCTTGATGGAAAGGCAACCAAATAATAATCAGCCTGAGCCTGACTGCACAGATAAACACGGTACAGATCCAAACCCCTGCATTTAGTGAAATGCTACAGCTTCCAAGAAGTACAAGAAAATTCACCAGCTGAAGTAATGGCAGTATTCTTGCCCTTTCCAGGCTGAATTAGACATGGGAGAGGTGCATGTGCTGCTCTCACACAGTGCTCCCTTGCGAGGTGTTGCAGACAATGCTCTGAATACAGAAAGCTTAAAGCTCAGGGATTGCTGTCAAACCACCGAAATAGTTTAGCCAGGAAAGCAGTTTTGATCACATTTCCAGGAATCAAGAAAGGACTTTCAGTTTCAGTTTTAGGAGAATATGTTTTCCTGTGTTAAAAGAAAGAATTTTATTTAAATGTAATAACAAGGGGCTTTACTAAACACAACCAGAAATCTTGGCTTTTTTATTTCAAATTTTTTTTTACTTTCCTTGTGTGCGTGGCTTTTGATTTAGTTCCTGAACCATGTTTGTTTCAAGAAGTTTTTTCCCTTCAGCTCTTCTGGTTCTCTCCCCAGTCCTGCTGGTAGGGGAGTGAGTGAGTGGCTCTCTGGTCCTTAGTTGTTGGCTGGGATTAAACCACGACAAGATGTGAAGAGCAGACAAAACCAGCAAGCCTCTTAGAGACAGCTGTTTTGCTCTCCTCTCTCCTTACAGGCCAGGCACTTGCCTGAAATAAAACCAACACAGGAGTCTATTTCTTACAGGTGGGCTACAGGGAACAGGCTTTTTCAAACACTTAGGCCTGATACTCCAGGTAAAGAGCAATAAACTATACTTTCCCAAAACAGTTTTCTTCTCAGATAATCCACACATCAGCTTTGTGACAAGAAAATAGCAGGGCTCATGACATTGGGAGATGAGCAATAGGTGCCTCACAGCTCATTCTGCACAGACATCACCCCCAGCACTGCAGGGATCCCAGCTTTGCCTTTCTGCTGGCTGGGGAAAGATTGATGTGCTGACTATGAACTGCTTAAAACCCACTTGTGGCCACTGAAGAGACAATGGTCCCAGATCTGGGGGACAAAGGTTCCTGGCTGCCCTTGCCATCTCCAGTGGTCTTTCTCTAAGCCTCAGTATTTCTTTGGCTCAATGAATAGAATCATAGAATGGGGAGGTTGGAAGGGACCTTAAAAATTATATACTAAACTTGCTCAGGTCCAGTGCCAACAATAACTGGGCTTACAGGGGTGAGGAGGGAAATTTTGGTGGAACAAACAGATGACTGAGAAAGAGCCAGCTGGGATTTTTTGGTCAGACTTCCCCAGACTGGGGGGGTATGATGCTCCCAAAGGGAGCCAGAGGAGCCAGGGAAAGGAACACTTTCCAGGCAGGCAAAAAATGAGCAAACACCACCACAGAGCCTGTAACACCTGCCCTTCCTTCCTACCTCCCATCCTCCCAGGAGATGCTCAGTTTAGGCACTGCAGCCACCAGCTCTAAGACACTTTATGTGCCTTGCTTGCCCTTTAGTAGGCCTGGGAACCAGGGGTTTTCCACCTACACAGGCTCTCAGCTGGAGGACACATAGTACATGCTCAGGAAGACTTTTATTTTATTGTGTCAGAAAGTTAAGGTTAAAATCCATTATACACAGAAAGAGCCCACAGGAGTCAGCTGAGAAAAAGAGGATGTGGGTAGAAAGCCTGCACCAGTCCTCAGCAAAGTACTGGAGGGGGGTGGCAGGGAAGGAAGGGATACTTTGCTTGCAAATGCTCCCAAACTACCAAAACATCATCATAAGCAATGAAAAAAAAAAAAGCAGATATGGCAAACAGGCTGGTGCTGCTGGGGTCACATTGAATGGTGATGCTCAACTTACTCTTTCTAAAGGGATGGGAGAAGGAAGGCTGAAGTATGTAACTCACACACAAAAATTCATTCAAATGCATAGAAGAGGATTTTATGGCAATATTATTTTGGGTTTTTTACATTTTATTACTGCTTTGCTTTGGTTATTTTTGCAAGAGTAGCTGTTGTTAGTAGGCCCAATGGCAGTTTTGGCAGAGGCTGGGCAGTGACCCTCCATGGCCAGAGGCTCCCTGCCTTGCTCTGAGCTCTTCCTGACAAGCTGTCACTACTCCTTCTCTCTGGATTTGCCCCTGGGCGAGCCAAAGGCAGCGCAGCCGACAGCAATACCAGCGCAGACAAGAATACCAGTTCCTAGTGCCAACATGCTACCAACTCCTATCTTGGCCTGTAAAGGGAAAGGAAAACACGGGCTGGAAACAAAAGAAGTAATTATATTTACCCCCAGGCATGCTAATGAAAAGCAGGCAGGGATAATCAGGGCAATCAAAGAATGAGTTACGTCTACCCCATAAATAGAAGGGTTTTTTGCCCTTAGGATGTGGCATTCAGTAAGAGGGCACTGTCAGGGTACAGACAGACCACAGTGACCCTCCTGCTCCAGGGTGTCTGGTGAGGCCAGAGGCAGTGCTTGTTTGGACCCCACACCTGGGACTTGACTGTCCCCAGACAGTGTGTGGGCTGTGTCCCTGTCCAGGGGCTCAGAGGGAGCAGCAAGGAAGTGCTGTGTGAGGCACAGAGGGGCTTATCTCATGGTACTTACCTGGTCAGAGACACTCTCGCCATAGCGGAGCATTGTCACAAAGTGCTCACAGTTTTCGCAGAACAGATTATAGGTCACCTCCATGCCAATGCAGCTCTCAGCACGCTTGATGATCTCCTTCACTGGGAGGGGGGTGCGGGAGCGGTCATACTTGTTGTTGACCTCCCAGTCATCAGTTCCCACCACCTCCTTCAGGAGCTGCTTCTTCACCTTGGCCTTTTTGCTCAATGTTGTGTCACTACTGGCTGACAGGCATCGGATCCCTTCATCTGGGAAAGGCAGGAAGGAGATAAGCCAGGCAGAACCTATGTGGCCCCTCCAAGACCTCAAATGGGTTTCTGGCTGCTCTTCAAAAGGCCATCTACATACACAGTTTTGGTCAACCAGCAGCCCGCAGAGGGAGACAGGGCTCCCGGGGCACCACAGCACCCCCTCTGTACCCTGTCAGGTTGCACCAGCCTTACCTGCGGACGTCACGTGGACGACATATCCATCCCCCAAGTAGAGGGCCCAGTGCTGGTAAACTGATCGTTTGATCTTGATCAGGTCGCCAGGCTCGGGTTGACGCCGGCGGCGTGACATCCCAGGAGCCTTCGGTCAGGACACGGCGGTGCAGCTGGTCTGGCTCAGCGCAGGGCCCAGCGGAGCGGGGAGGTGTGGGGTGTGCAGAGGCACCTGCCGGGACGGCAGGCACGGAGGGCGTTAGTGCCGGGCACCGAGGGCATGAGCTGCCGGAGCGGCGGGCCCCTCCGCGCCGGACCCGGCTCGGGCGCGCTCCCGCCCGCTGGCGCAGGACAAGCACGGAAGACGCGCCACCTGCCCACCCAGAGTAATAGGTGGCTAAACCCGCACGTCCCCGGCTCCATCTCCCCGCCGCCGCCCGTCCCTCGCTCCCGTCCGCCCGGCCGCTCCATTCGGGCTCAGGCTTGTGCCGCGACTGGTCCCGCTCTGCTGGCCGCGCCAGTCCCGGGAGTGCCCCGGCAGGTGCCAGCCGTTCCCCAGGCTCCGGGCACTCCGGAGCCCCTCCGCCAGAGCCGCGCCCGCGCCAGCCCCCGGACGGGGCCGCATCCTGCTCGTAGACGCCCGCTCGCATCCCCCGAGCTCCGCTCACCCTCGCCCTGTCCCGCTGCTTCTGCCACCGCGCTTCCGGCCCGCTCTAAATAGAGGGGGGCTGAGCACGCCCCGGGGATGCCAGAAGGGCAGGGTCCTTCCTGGAGTCACTGCTGCCTCTGCCTGGGAACTGTCCCATCCTGTCCCTCCCATCCGTTCGGGGCTCCGCTCCCGAGAGTGTTGCCAAAAACCACCCGTTGGGTGGGAATTGTGGTCCTGCCACCCAGGATGGCGTGAACCACCACACTGCAGGGAGCCTATGAGTTCCAGCAGTGCTTCTTAGCACTCCCTCCACAGCACTGACTCTGTGCCCTGTCACTCCGCAGGACCTTCTCTTGCAGAACAAGAACCCCTGGCTGCTCATTAAAGCCTGGCTTGGGAGCTGCTGTATTGTTTCACCAATTTCTGTGTCTTTCTGTCCACATACACCATGGAGGAGAAAATGCCAGGAAAAGCCAAGCTGCAGCCACAGGAGGTGCTGCCAATGTTCTGTGGCCCCTGGTACCGAGGTGAAAACACTGTCTGCAATAAAGTGGAAGCATTTCCTCTCCCATTACAGCCTCTTTCAAAACTTCATCCTCATTTTGCTCTGTGTACTCTACCCTAACCCCTCTCCATGTACAGTGTCCTCTGGAAACAGCCACTGCCTTCTCCAGGACCAAAACAAGTCCCTGCTCTGAGGTACCCTCAAGTGCTAAGCCAGCTGTGCTCCACCACGGGATCAGCTACATGCAAGGCTTGTGTTTTCCTGATGCTCCCTCCATCCGTTACTGGGTGGGCAGGTTGGTGGTGGCACCAATGACTGTGGGTGCGTAGGAGCTCCTCTCCTGCTCTTGTTAATCTCCTCTCTTTCAGTCTGTGGAGTGCTGTGATGAGGGGCTGCCCAATGCCATTGTCACCAGCATTTCCCAAGTTGGCCCATGGGTACACTCCATCACATGTGGCTGCAAAATCCTGTCTAGAGGCTTTTAAAATCCTAACATACACAATCACACAGGATTATCCTTTTGGATTTCCCCCTCAGAAATAGGGGCAAGAGACTTTTTCTTACACATTCCTTACACAATTTTTAATCTATTACATTATTTTAATATTTGTGATAATCTAGTCAGTCAATTACATAAAACATAATAATATAATACTATAATAATAAACATGCAGCAGCTTGCTTTGTAAAAGTTGTCCTACAATCTCTAAAATCATCTAGTTAGCTTGCTCAGGCCTAATGCCAACAATCATTGGGCTTATAGAGGTGAAGAGGGAAAGTGTGATGTGCTTTCAGGATTACTAAGTTGCATCGCTGGATCCAGTGGGCAGTGACTATATATGTTTTTTCCACTTTCATCTTTTCTATCCTGTCTTTCTCTCCCCTATGAATTTTGTCCCCACCCCAAAGATTATCTCTATGTCACACTGTTATATGATAGCACCCAAAATGCTAGCACACCTGTTGATACAAAATTGTTAAAATAAACCTTTCTTATATATGTTTTCAGACACCAATTATTCAGTGTTTTTTCATTCTAATCCACCCCAAGGGAATTATTAATAAGAACCTGGGTTACCCCCTCCCCTTTTTCTGGGGCAGGTAGTAACACTCAGGTCTTGCTAACATCTGCTACAAAGGCTCAAAAATAACTGAATGCAGCAAGTGATGGATTCTGCTGCTCCTCTTCACACACTCACTTCGTGGTTCACGCAATGTTCAACCAAATCCTGCTAATGCACCACCAGACTTGATGGAATGGTAACCCATAATAATCGCCTTAAGGTTGACTGCACAGACAAGCACAGTACAGGTGCAAACCCCTGCATTCAGTGAAATGCTACAGCTTTCAAGAACTAAAAGAAAGTTCACCAGCTGAAGTAATTCCAGTGTTCTTGTCCTTTACAGGATGAATTGGAGATGCGAGAGGTACATGTGCTGTCCTCACACAGCACTCCCTTGCAATTCTCTGAGTACAGAAAGGTTAAAGCTCACAGATTGCTGTACAACCTCCTAATTAGTTTATCTGTGAAAGAAGTTTCAATTATGCTTCCTGGAATCAAGAAAGGATTTCGGTTTCAGTTTTATGAGAATATGTTTTCCTGTATTAAAAACAAGAACTTTATTTAAATGTAATAACAAAGGGCACTACAAAAACATGACCAGAGGTCTGGGCTTTGCTATTTCAAACATTGAAAAACTGATGTTGAAAAAACACAATGAAATACTTCCTCGTTTTACTTTGCTTGCATGCGTGGTTTTTGGTTTACCTGCTAAATCATGTTTCTCACAACTCACAAGTTTTTTCACTTCAACTCTTCCAGTTTTCTCCCCAGTCCAGCTGGTAGGGGAGAGAGAGAGTGAGCAGCTGCCTGGTGCTTAGTTGCTGGCTGGGGTTAAACCTTGACAGCATGTGAAGAGCAGACAAAACCAGCAAGCCTCTTACAGACAGCTGCTTTGCTCTCATCTCTCCTTACAGTCCAGGCTTTGAAAATGGTCCACGCAGTGATATCACTGCCAGTGTAGGAGGTATCCATGGCCTCCCCATGGCCTTCACCTCCCAAATATTCCCAACATCCAGTGTGTACCAGAGTTGATCAGGTGGGTTTGCTGGGTGCAGTCCTGGGATGCTGCTGCCTGCTCGAAGGTCGGTGTGCGGGGTTGTGGGTGGGAGTGCACTTTTCTCAAAGGTGCTGATAAACCAAACTTCATTCCCCAGTAACTGTATAAAATACAGAAGAAGAGGGGTTTGAATTGGTTTTTTATCCTCAAACTTCAATGCTGGGAGGTTTTTTGTGGTGTTAGGAGGACTTTGCTTATTGTAGCTGGTATTTCTGGAACAGGTACAGGAGTAGAGTCACATGAAAGGACAGAATAAAACAGTGACCACAGAATAGACTTGCTTGCCATTACTTAAAAAAATGTTTATTCATAAGCTGAAAACAGATATGGAGGAGCCAGCAATAATGCCATTTAATGAAATGGATGTGAAGATAATTAGCTGTTTGTGTAGAAATGTGCTTGAGTCCCAGGACCACTGAGCAAATTAGTAATGAAAAAGCAACAGCAGCTTAAGCTGGGTATTAAAATCCTAGCTGTAGAATGAAACAAAGGAAACAAGCCACTGCAGATGAAGGGTAGTAAAGTGGCTCTGCAGCATCTTAAGGAAAAAAAAGTTTGTCTATGGAATTTGACCTGTTTTCTATTCTTCTTATAAGCCTAAACCCAGGACCTGAAAGCAGAAACCACCTACAGCACTAAACTTGCACTGTGGGAGCTGCTTGGGTTTGTGTTTTATGTCTTGAGCAGGGAAGGTCGAGATGCTTTGGTTGCTTAACTGTGGTTAAACATCTGTCCTGATTCAGTTTGTTGGTTCCACTCTGCTGTTTTGAGTGCTGCATACCCATTGTTTGTCATATGCTGTGCTCACCACAGAGTTTTATCCTTTGTGGTATCATTTAGTGGGGAGAAAGGTCACACAGGGCTTCAAGTTTAACAAAGATGTGAAAAGCTGTAATTCCTGTCAGAGGGTAGATTGGTTGTAGGGACGCCAGAGCTGGGGAAAAAAATCCCATGACATAACTTTAACTCTTCCAAAAGAATAAAGGGAATTAGAGGAGGCTGAGCCCTTTCTAGCTGGGTGAGGAGGCAAAGGAGCAGGACTTGATGTAAAACTGGGGCTTTGGGAGAGCAGCTGCTTCCCTCTGTTGGGACAAAAAAAACCAACTTGAAAAATGAGTGAATGTCTCAGGCAGGTGAAGGAGGGTAGTTTTTATAGGTTAGCTAAACGTAGAAATTTTTTAAAAAATTTTTTCATATCATCATAGAGTTTTGGAAAGCGCGAGGGACACGTCCCCCCTCTCTCAATGCAGGCCGGGAGCAGCTGCACTCGTGAGAGCTCCCCTCTGTGAACTTCACGTTTCGCCCGCTCTTGCAGCCACGGCTCTGCTCCGGATACATCGCGATCGCGTGACCTCATCGGGACGGCGCTGCCGTCTCGGTAGCACAGAACTGAGAGGGTGGTTTAGGTCATGTTTTTTCTGCTATTTGTTTGGGGCGTTTTTTGTTTTGTTCTGTTTTGTTCTCAGTTTTTAGTAAAACTGTTATTAATTTTTCTACTTCACTGCGACACCTCGTGGTTTCAAAAAAATTAGTGATTTAGAGGGAGGGAAATAAATAAGGAGAGGGTTTGACCTGATCAGAGGTCCCACCTCCTAAAACATATTGTCAGTAAACCAAGACAGTAGTTAAGGAGAAATTATCATTATGTATCACCAGTATGTGCCCAGAGCACGGCCCTCAGTTACAAAGACATTACAGCTGTGACCACTCTCTTTTATCAGCTGCATCACTGTGGCCCTGTGTCTTTTCCAAGGGAAAGCCCTTCTGGAATTCCATCTATACAAACTGTGAGTAGAGCTGAAGCAACATATACTCTGCAGATGCCTGTTCTTGCCTCAAAATAACCCTGGCTGGAGAGACTGCTAGGAAAGGGATGCTGTGGATTTTTCTGTCCCCATAGCAGTTTCTGGCATGTAAAATAATTGTTCTGTGTGAGCTCCTACTTCTCCATTTCAAAAAGCTCTGCATAAGTCCTTCTTCCTTGAGAAAGGAGGCAGCAGAGCTGAAAAAGGAGACTGCATCTTGGTTTGGAAAATAAGTGCTTCCAGAAGATGATATGCTGCACAGTTTTTCTGTGGCCATATAGGAATCAGAATGTGCCAAATCACTCGTGCAAGAAAAAACAGTGTAGATGGTGAGCTTTGCAACAGGCTGGTGGGAAGTAGCTCCTGCAGTTTTGATTCCCCAGCTCTTCTTTTAGCAGGAGGGAGAAAAGGAAGGGATTTGACTTGGAGGCAGTTGTACAGCATTAGTATTTGGGGCTGCTAACAGCACACTTACGGACTTTGGTCACCAACACCCCTCCCTCCCAGGGTCACAAATGCTCTTCTGTCCCTAGATGTATTTTCAGTCCTCCTGGCCCTCCAGTTGCAATCTGCCTCTTCCTCTTCCTTGCTGGTATTGATACTGTGCACAGTAGCATGCAGGTAATCACAAACAAAATGTGCCTTTCCTTTCCATGTCATGTATTTAGCTGGCTCTTTAGTTAAGCATATGGAGCAGAAGTCAACTTGGGAATTAATTTGCCGATCCAGTACTGATTGGGCAGCCCTTTGTGTTGCATGGCCAGGTTTTGATAGCAGAGGGGGGCTATAGGGGTGGCTTCCATGAGAAGCTGCTTGGAGCTTCTCCTATGTCTGACAGACCCAATACCAGCCAGTTCTGGGATGGACCCACCCCTGGCCAAGGCCAAGCCAATCAGGGATGGTAGTAGTGCCTCTGTGATAACGTGTTTAAGAAGGAGAAATAAGTTATTGCACAGATGTAATTGAGCTCAAAGAGAAGAGGAATGAGAATATGTGAGAGGAACAACTCTGCAGACAACAGTCAGTGCAGAAGGAGAGGATGAGGTGCTCCAGGTGCCAGAGCTGAGATTCCCCTGCAGAGCTGAGATTGCCCTGCAGCCTGTGGGTAAGACCATGGTGACACAGGCTGTCCCCGTGCAGCTCATGGAGGTCTGCAGTTGAGTAGAGATCCACCCATGGATCCGCCCATGGAGGAGACCTATGCCAGAGCAGATGGATGACCAGAAAGAAGTCTGTGACCCCATGGGAAGCCCATGCTGGAGCAGGCTCCTGGCAGGGACCCGTGGAGGGAAGAGCCCACGCTGGAGCAGCCTGTTCCTGAAGGACTGCACCTCATGGAAAAGTGACCCACACTGGAGCAGTTTGTGAAGAACTGTAGCCTGTGGGAAGGACTCACTTTGGAGAAACTCATGAAGGACTGTCTCCCAATGGAAGGGATCCCATGCTGGAGCAGGGGAAGAAGGACTCCTCTCCCTGAGGAGGAAGCAGTGGTAGAAATGATCTGTGATGAGCTGACCATAACCCCCATTCCCCGTCTCCCTGTGCCATTGGGAGGGAGGAGGTAGAGCCCAGGAAAGAGGGAGGGATGTGGGGAAGGTGGTTTTAAGATTTGTTTTGCTTCTTATTATCCTACTCTGATTTTGTTTGGTAGTAAATTCAGTTAATGTTGGCAAGTCAAGTCTGTTTTGTCCATGACTGTAATTGGTGAGTGATCTCTCCCTGTCCTTAACTCATAAGCCTTTTGTTATATTTTCTCTCCCTTGTCTAGTTCCAGAGGGGAATGATAGAGAGGCTTTGGTGGATACCTGGCATCTAGCCAGGGCCAGCCCACCACAGCCTTTCAGACTTCTCTTACAACCTGCTGACAAGAACATGAGTAGTGAGGCAGTCCTCCTCTCCTTTAAAGACTGAGCAGCAACCAGGAGAAGAAAAAAGCATTTGCAGCTTGCTGAGCTTTTCTTCCTCACAGAAAAAAAGAAGCACAATATGGTGGATTGTGGATTTGCATACTAGAGGAGGCTTGTTGTCTGGAGAAGTGAGTGGGCAGGGATTGCTGTTGCCTCCCCTTATGTCCCCCTGGAGAACCATGAGCTCACACAGGCCTGGGCCACCTCAGCCCTGCCAGGCACTCATCCAGGGCACGGAGCAGACAGACAGCTGCTGCCAGCTGTGCTGCCCAGGCCAGGAATGGCCAAGCCCTGCGGCTCCCCTCCGGCCTTCATGCACAGGATGCATTCGGGTGGAGGCCTGGCACTAGAGCCAGCACAGAGGGAGGGGAAGCACACATGTGCATCAGCTGTGGCTGTCCAAAAGTACTTGGGCTCCAGGTTCTGCCCCAGGCATCTGACCTGCAACTTTCAGCAGTAGCCTAAGTAAGATAGGCAGATCCATGCCATGGGGAATCTGGCATCAAAACTTCCCGGATCTCTGTGGCAAAGAATTGATGTCACCTTCAAGTACCTCCTCCGTGCTTGCCACTTGTTAGACATCTTCTGAAATCATTAGGAATAGATGCATCTCTTGGCAAGGGATTTAAATCTAATGGCTCTCCATGTCTTTTCCAACAGTCTCTTTGCACTCCTGTGATCTGGAGAGTTTATGTGTGGCTGGTGCTCTTGGTCATCTCTTGTATACCTTTTTTTACAGAGGTGAGTGCATCTGATTACCAACCATTCTCTAGAGCAAACAGGGGCTGGGTCTTTCTAGCCCTACCTGCAGCCATGCTCTCCTCCTGTCATAGCATAAACCCTCAAGCCTTTTTTTTTTCCCCTTAAGACTCAATGTATGCCAGTCAAATCCATTTTATGCAGCCTTGGGGATGATTCAGATCACAACCCTTAAGCCTTTAGAGAGGGAGGTGTAGTGCAGCTGCCTGGGAGGATCACGCTGCCTGGCTCACAGCAGGAGCCAGCCACAGCATGGGTCAGCTGCTTGGCAGTGATTTTGAAACGACTGTTTCCCTTTTGTCCTACAATTGACCAGGCTAGAGACTGCACTGGGTTGTGTCTCGGATATTGCAGTAATGATTAATCCCTGAAGTGCCCTGTGGGCTGGTACCAAAAATGGCAGAGAATGCTGCAGACAGATCCCAACTGGCCTCAAACAAATGCAAAAGACTTTGCAACAAAGAGCGGGGATGAGATTAGTCCCACCTGCAATCACAGTGATGGGCACTAGGTGAGACCCTGCAGCCACATGTGGGACTGCACAGTGCTGGGGCTTCCCCAGCTTACACTCAATAGCCCAGGTTTTCATCCTCTGGTGTGCAACAGATTCAGATACATGAAATCCCTACACAAACCCACCCATTTAGGGGCAGGCTGGCTGTGCCCTGGAGCACAGGTAGGGATTAATCTCTTGGCTGTTTGTAAATTAACAGCTTTGACTCTACTCCATGGCAACTGCAGGAATCAAAAAAGGAGTTTCAGTTCCACTTTTATGAGAATACATTTTCCTGTATTAAAAATAAGAACTTTATTTAAAGGTAATAAGACAGCAGTACAAAATACAACCAGAAGTTTTTGCTTTGTTATTTCAAACATCAAAAAACTGACAGTGAAAAAACTAGTGAATTAAGTCCTTGTTTTACTTTGCTTGCGTGCATAGGAAGTTTTTTGACTTCAACTCCTACTGGTAGGGGAGTGAGCTTAGTTGTTGGCTGGGGTTAAACCTCGACAAGATGTTAAGAGCAGATAAAACCAGCAAGCCTCTTAGAGACAGCTGTTTTGCTCTCCTCTCTCCTTACAGGCCAGGCACTTGCCTGAAATAAAAGCAACACAGAAGTCTATTTCTTACAGGTGGGCTGCAGGGAACACTTAGGCCAGACACTCCAGGTAAACAGAAGCAAACCAGACTTTCTCAGTTTTCTTCTCAGATAATTCACACATCAGCTTTGTGACAAGGAAATAGCAGGGCTCAGGACATTTGGAGATGAGCAATAGGTGCCTCACAGCTCATTTTCCCCAGACATCACCCCCAGCACTGCAGGGATCCCAGCTTTGCCTTTCTGCTGGCTGGGGAAAGATTGATGTGCTGACTATGAACTGCTTAAAACCCACTTGTGGCCACTGAAGAGACAATGGTCCCAGATCTGGGGGACAAAGGTTCCTGGCTGCCCTTGCCATCTCCAGTGGTCTTTCTCTAAGCTTCAGTGCTTCTGTGGCTCAAAGTGTAGTACCACAGAATGGGTTGGTTGGAAGGGACCTTAAAAATCACCTAGTAAGCTTGCTCAGGGCTAATGCCAACAATCACTGGGCTTACAGGGGTGAGGAGGGAAATTCTGGTGGAACAAAAAGCTGACTGAGAAAGAGCCAGCCGGGATTTTTTGGTCAGACTTCCCCAAACTGGGGAGGTGTGATGCTCCCAAAGGGAGCCAGAGGAGCCAGGGAAAGGAACACTTTCCAGGCAGGCAAAAAATGAGCATAACACCATCACAGAGCCTGTAACACCTGCCCTTCCTTCCTACTTCCCATCCTCCCAGGAGATGCTCAGTTTAGGCACTGCAGCCACCAGCTCTCAGACACTTCACATGCCTTGCTTGCCCTGTGGTAGGCCTGGGAACCAGGGGTTTTCCACCTACACAGGCTCTCAGCTGGAGGACACATAGTATACACTCAGGAAGACTTTTATTTTATGTTGTCAGAAAGTTAAGGTTAAAATCCCTTATACACAGAAAGAGCCCACAGGAGTCAGCTGAGAAAAAGAGGATGTGGGTAGAAAGCCTGCACCAGTCCTCAGCAAAGCACTGGAGGGGGGTGGCAGGGAAGGAAGGGATACTTTGCTTGCAAATGCTCCCAAACTACCAAAACATCATCATAAGCAATGAAAAAAAAAAAAAAAGCAGATATGGCAAACAGGCTGGTGCTGCTGGGGTCACATTGAATGGTGATGCTCAACTTACTCTTTCTAAAGGGATGGGAGAAGGAAGGCTGAAGTATGTAACTCACACACAAAGCTACACTCAAATGCATAGAAGAGGATTTTATGGTAATATTATTTTGGTGGTTTTCAGATTTTATTAAGGCTTTGATTCGGTTATTTCAGAGTGGTTGTTGTTAGTAGGCCCAATGGCAGTTTTAGCAGAGGCTGGGCAGAAACCATCCACGGCCAGAGGCTCCGTGCCTTGCTCTGAGCTCTTCCTGACAAGCTGTCAGTACTCCTTCTCTCTGGATTTGCCCCTGAGCAAGCCCACCAAGACAGTGGAGACAACAGCAGCAGCTCCTACTGCCAGCATGCTACCAATTGCTATCTTGGCCTGTAAAGGGAAAGAAAAACATAGGCTAGAAGCATGATAAGCAATATTTACCCCTAGGCATGCTAATGAAAAGCAGGCAGGGATAATCAGGGCAGTTAAAAGAATGCAAAACATCTGTTCCATAAGCAGAAGAGGTTACAGTCTGGGTTTTAGCCTTAGGATGTGGCATTCAGTAAGAGGGCACGGTCAGGGTGCAGATAGACCACAGTGACCCTCCTGCTCCAGGGTGTCTGGTGAGACCAGAGGCAGTGCTGGTTTGGACCCCACACCTGGGACTTGGTTGTCCCCAGACAGTCTGTGGGCTGTGTCCCTGTCCAGGGGCCCACAAGGAGCAGCAAGGAGGTGCTGTGTGAGGCACAGAGGGGCTTATCTCATGGTACTTACCTGGTCAGAGACACTCTCGCCATAGCGGAGCATTGTCACAAAGTGCTCACAGTTTTTGCCGAGCACATCATAGGTCACCTCCGTGTCAATGTAGCTCTCAGCACGCTTGATGATCTCCTTCACTGGGAGGGGGGTGCGGGAGCGGTCATACTTGTTGTTGACCTCCCAGTCATTATTTCCCACCACCTCCTTCAGGAGCTGCTTCTTCACCTTGGCCTTTCTTGTAAATATTGAGGCAGTGCTCACCAACAGAGATGGGGCCCCTTCATCTGGGAAAGGCAGGAAGGAGATAAGCCAGGCAGAACCTGTCCAGCCCCTCGAAGACCTCAGATGGCTTTCTGGCTGTGCCTGGAAAGGCCATCTATCTCCACACACAGGGTGGGTTCACCAGAAGCTCACAGAGGGAGACAGGGCTCCTGAAGCACGTTAACATCCCCTCTACACCCTGCCAGGCTGCACCAGCCTTACCTACAGGTGTCACGTTGAGGACATATCCATCCCCCAAGTAGAGGGCCCAGTGCTGGTAAAGTTGTCGCTTGATCTCGATCAGGTCGCCAGGCTCGGGGTGCTGCTTGCCATACGCCATCCCAGGAGCCTTCGGTCAGGACACGGCGGTGCAGCTGGTCTGGCTCAGCGCAGGGCCCAGCGGAGCGGGGAGGTGTGGGGTGTGCAGAGGCACCTGCCGGGACGGCAGGCACGGAGGGCGTTAGTGCCGGGCACCGAGGGCATGAGCTGCCGGAGCGGCGGCCCCTCCGGACCGGACCCGGCTCGGGGCGGCCGCTCCCGCCCGCTGGCGCAGGACAAGGCACGGAAGGGCCGCCCCTCCCACCCAGAGGATGAGGTCGGCTACCCCCAACGTCCCCGGCTCCATCTCCCCCCGCCGCCGCCCGGTCCCCTCCCATCCCCCGCCGTCCCTTCGGGGCTTCGGCTTGTGCCACGACCAGTCCGCCCCTCTGCCGGCTCGCAGCAGCCTCCCCGGGGCCCGCGGTGCCCCAGGCCTGTCCCCAGGCTCCGGGGCACCTCCGGCCCCTCGCCAGAGCCGCGCCCGCCGCCGGCCCCCGACGGGGCCGCATCCTGCTGGCAGACGCCCGCTCGCATCCCCCCGCTCACCGCACCACCCGTCCCGCTGCTGCCGCGACCAGAACTCCTGACCCGCTGGCACGCCTATAATAGCCAGGAGAAGGCGCTTGCGCAGATCCTGCCGGGCTCACTGCCAGGACTTATCCCGGAGCCCCCCGTCCCGTCCCGCCCCCCCCCGCCCCGCCCCTCCCGAGGCTCACTCCCGAGGGTGTTGGCTAATCCGCTCGCTGGGTGGAAAATCTGGTCCTGTCCCCGGCGAAGGCGGGCCACCGCCGCCTTGCCATCTCCTGCAGCCGCGAAGGGGTTCTGCTTCTACGCAGCCTTGCAGTGAGTGAGCATCCGTCACCAGGAAACCTTTCGAAAGGGAAAGGATATGCTGCCGTTCCAATTCTTCACTGTCAGGAGGAACAACAGCGATGGAGCTCAGAATGTAGTCGTTTTATGGCAAAGAGATTTTTAGGATGCGTTTTTATTTTTTGACACGGCCCAGGCATTTGTTTTGGGACATCAGCGGAATCTGATGATTGTGCCCAGCAAGAGTCTTGATCCGAGAGGGATCCCGATCCTGTACGGCCATCTCCTTGGCTGTTGCCTGCACAGTGTGCTAAAAAGGAGTGTTCACTAACACTAAAACTGTCTTCTTGGTGAGTTGAACTCAGCAGTGTATTTAAAGCCCGGCATTTAAAAAGTCAGGTGAGCAAGGTGGTTTATTTAAAAGATGAGAGCAGTGGGAGATTTGTCAACTTTCTGGCTTCTAGTGACATGAATTAGTTAATTTAGTGGAGCACTGAGTGGCAGTTCTTTCTGTATCACCCCCTACTTCAAGTCTGAACTATTTGCAAAGCTTTGCAGTAGAAAGCCAGGGCCATTCTTGTGGTATTGACCAAAATATATGTATATATATATGTAGAAACCCAGAAATCTGCTTTACGTGGGCACAGCAGGGTTCTGTTGCCTGGGGGAGCCCGGGCTGGGATCCTGCAGGGCAGGGACTGGCCTGTGCTCCCACCAGTGCAAGGGGAGGTGAGTGTGGTCAGCACCGCTCAGCAGTCACAGAATCGCACTGTAGCAGACACACAGTGCAATAGGAAGCTGCCGCTGAAGAGGCAGGACAGATGGCATTATAATCACGGTAAAATTCCATCATAGGGTTGACAGTTCATTTGTGCATAAGTAGGTCTCTCTCGTTGATTCATTTTCATTATGTAATGAGGTTGAAAGGCCCATTCTATTCACACACTCTCCAAAATAGCTGTGGCCTGTGTGTATGAACAGGCCACATGAGCAGGCTGGTGTGTCCTTGAATGGACCAGAATAACCTAACTCACCATGGAGACTACAAATACTTCTCTGGCTAACAATACACATGAGTTTATGGATAAAAAGGAGGGGAGAAAGGGTAAGTAAATAATAACCGGCATTATGGCAGAAACAAGAGGAGGCCCACACTGTTCCTCACTGTAATCATTGTTAAGGAAACCCTTCTGTCTGACCACCCAGGAGCCCCTCTGGCAGGCACACTCACACCACCTGAGCTGGGACTGCCCATCAGGACAGGTGGCCCCAGTGAGCCAATGGGTGCCCTGCTCGACTCCCTGTACACCCCACACTCACACAGTCAGACAAGGTTTCCTCACTGGCTTGACCCCAGGTTTCCCCTAGAAGAGTCTCAGACACCCGGACCCTTAAAATAAATTGCAACAACAAAAGAGCAGCTTGAGCTGGGTGCCTTCAAGGAGGGACCCCAGAAAAAGAAACCCTGCAGTTTTTATACCCTCACAGTCTAAGTGTGCTGTCCCTGGTTCCTGCTGTGTCTCTGAGTGTCTGTTCACCTGGCTGGTGCCACAGGTCCCCATGCCCTTTGTTATGTAAAAGATTGGCACCAGTTCAGGGCCCTTTACCTCTTGCACTGCAGCTGCACACTGAGCTTCAAGCTCAGTATTCCTAAACAATCAGGAGGTAACCTGCAGTGAACTGGAAAAGCATCAGTAAAACTTTTGTAGTACTTATGTTTCAAAGCTTCACTCATAGCACTGGAAATTCATTCTGGCCTTGTACAAGGCTCAGGCAGTGCTTCAGTCCCTGAGCTTTGTGACTGGTCTGTTATGGGGTGGGTGTCTCACACATGGCATGTTACCAGGCCTTGCTGCAAATGCCTTTGCTCTCCTGATGTAGGGGGGTCCTTAGCGTGGTCTGGGGCTGAGTAGATGCAAATCTACTCTCACATTTACCATTTTGGCAAAGACCCCCAAGGAGAGTTTATGACAGGACCTCATTCTTCAGAAAGTTTTTGTGAAGTTATGGTCTTGCTTAGCCCCCACAGGGACTGATTACAACCCTATTTCTTTTCCCCCTTATCCCCTCCACTCTAATAGCAAGGAGGCAGTTCTCCTTCAAACAATCACTTCTTTCAGTCCAGCACTCCCAAGGAGGACAATGGGGGTTATTTGTTTTACTACGTCTGTCCTTAGGTGAGCTCAGTGTCTTCTTTATTATTTCTCTCCCCAGTTGGATATGCCTTGCCAGAAAAGGAGTAAGAACTGTGTCCACATCAGTCCTTCCATGTGTCCCATGGAAGGATTTGGGTAGGATGATCTCATGAAGACCTGCCTGGGATGCTATAATTAGTTCACAGAATCATAGAATGGTTTGGGTTGGAAAGGACTTTAAAGATCATCCAGTTTCAAACCCCCTGCTGAGGGCAGGGACACCTTTCACCAGATCAGGTTGCTCAGAGCTCCATCCAACCTGGCCTTAAACACTTCCAGGGATGAGGCAGCCACAACTTCTCTGGGCAACCTCTTCCAGTGCCTTATCACCCTCACAGTGAAGAATCTCTTTCTTAAATATAATCTAAACTTACTTCCTAATATCTAATATAAACATGCTCTCTTTCAGTTTGAATTCTGACCACATCAGTCTACACATCTACCACAGTCTACCGCATCAGTTTTGTACATCTCTCAGAGGTGAGTAGGTGATGGTGTGCAGCACACTTGGGCTGTCAAATTCTGTCTGGACTTTGTGTTTTTCAAACAGCCTTTGAAGACAACAGAGTCTCTCATGTCAGTTAGAGCATATTCCAGTTTGGGTCTACAACATGAGATCCGAGAGATATTTTAAATTCACAACTTCAAAGGTTTTCAACAAACGCAATGATAAATTTATTACTATTTCTTCTCAAAGTAGTAGAAATATAATTAAAATATAAGAGCAGAAAGTATGATAAATGAATTGGAAAAATATTGTTAACTATAGCTGTGTATTTTGGGATTCATTTTGATCAAATGCACTGTTCACGATGCAGCCATAATCTTGCTCGTGTACTCTGGCATCCAGTTCATCCCTGGACCACTTCAAAGAAGAATCCCTTGTTATTGTATGTGTATCCACATTTCTCTTTCTCCTGTACAATGAGAAAAAAAAAAAAAGAACAACCAATTTTAGTTTCTGTTCTTATCTATAGTGAGAAGTCAAACAATGGTCAAAAGAGATCCCAAGTGCTGTGGTTCCTTTCTGGTCCTTGCAGGTATTTGACTGATGGGAGTTTTGAGGTTTACAGGTGCTAAAAGGGGTGTATGTGTTTTGAATCTTTTGAATGTAGCAAAGCTGGGAAAAAGCCTTACCTGTACAGGTACACTGTAGATGAGATGAGAATGACAATAACAACTACACCTGCCACGACTCCGATGACGATGGCATATGTATAGTCCTTGGGATCCTCTGTGTCAGGGTCTTCAGCTGAAGAAGAGATAAGAGCCCTGTCACTGAAAGCTGACCATACTATGAGCAGAATTTTTTTTCTCAATCCTTGCCTATGTGTTTGGTTTACACTGTGTTCTCTGATGAATGTGGCTTTCTGGAGTGGTGTCAGGCCCTGATCCTGTATGCTCTACAGAGCCATGCTGTCATGATTTCTGGCACCTCTCCACTGGGCATCTGACAGTTCTTTCTGCTTGGATGACCACAGGCTCTCACCCACTGGGTTACTAATTTACATAATGAAAATGAAGACCAAGCTCAGTTTTCTCCATAATAACATCCATTTTTGAAAGTGCAGACAGGGAAATCCAAAATAGTTTTATTACCTGTCTTTTCAGCCTCACACGTTGCTCCTGTGTACAGCTCTGAACATTCACAGTAGAAGAGGAGAGAGGTGCCATTGGTAGTTTCAGAGCAAACACCGTCATTCTGACAAGGGTTTGGCATACATGGTCCACCTAGTGAAAAGGAAGGAGAAATACTTGATTCTCAGATAAGTCAACACTGAGAGAGCTGTTCTTGCTTAGATTACACTGACTCCTAATGCTGCACATCCCCTGTATTTTCTAAGGCAGTTACTTGTATCTGACAACAGGAATAATGGAAGGAAACTCTGTTTCTGCAATGAAACATCAGAGCAAGATCCCCTACATGCTTTTCTTCTGTACACACTCCCTTGAAACTATCCCCAACCCAGTGATGTCTTATAAGGTAAGTCAAGACTTCATAGCATCAAAGAAAATATGATAGTGGTTGACTCACTCCTGTAGCATCCACGAGTGTAGTTGGAGATGCCACAGATTTCATCAGACCCACACACTTTGTCAGAGCAGAAAACAGTGGAGCTTTCTGTGCACTGGCATGTCTGAGAGCAGTCATCAGTGGTGAATATTTCTCCAATCTGGAAGACAGCAGTGAGATGTTAAGAATATCAAATAAAATCAGACAGAAAAAAGCATGAATAGAGCACGGGGCACCATTATAGTCTCTCCAACATTTTCCTGAGGAATAGCAACAGGGCAGATTTTTTTTTAATTAGTTTGTACAAATAAAACAAGCATCTTACTAATCCAGCTCTTTGAAACTAGAGGATGGCCCAAGAAAGAAGGCAAAAGAAGAGTTTGAGGTATGAGATCCTAGTTCCAGGTGGGGTACATATGCAACCAACAGTGTCTAGCTGTTGCTGGAGATAAGGGTGGCACATGCATCACATCATACCTCCAAGGCAATGTGGAAATGTTATCTACCGTATTAATTAAAAGTGCCTCCTGCTAATAGTGTCTCTCTCCTCCAATAAAAAATGTTTACTGGCTTAGGCCTTTTCTGTACCAAATCTCCAGTGTTAATGCAGAAATATATGAGATAATGAAGTTGTTCTATCCTGCAGCGACAATGAAGGATTCTCCTCAGAATCCAGCCTTGCTCAGGGCTCTCTTCATGTCCTCCCCAGCTGTACAGTCTCTCAACACTGCCTATATCACTCTTCACTGAGATGACTGGGACCACAGTGACCCACAGAATTTCTCTGTAACTGGTATGTTGTAAACTTTAGTGCCTATGAGGCTATTATTTAGCCTAATAAAGCTGAGGCATTAACATGGAGGTCAGAGTGCAATCATATACTTTCTCCAAGTGCCTGCCCTGAGTATTCTGGCAGACAGAGTTTCAGAGGGAGACCAAGGGATCTCGTCTCTCTTCCCTTTCTCCAGAAACCAGAATTTTATTAAACAATTGCTCTTTGTTTCTATTGCAAAATTACATGCTGAGCATTACAAGGAGATTGTCAAAATAACTAATGGAAGAAAATACTGTTTAGTGCTGCAGGAGCTGTCTGAGCCACAGAGACTGTATGTACCTCATAGTATTTGTTCAGGTATGTGCAGCCACACTCTTTGTAAGGCACACAGTCAAAACCACTAAGAACATAGCCAGGGAGACATTCACAGCCTTCCACACAAGGTGATTCACACTCAGAAGGGCTGGTCAGGTCGTTGCAGGATGCTGGGCATGCAGACGTGCATGAGCTGTAGTTGCTGTTGGCAGGACATGATATACCTATAAAAATAAGGACACTCCAGTTATACCAGGATGCTGTGCATTACTTAAATATAGAATTCTCTTTCAGATCCAGAAGGCATAATTTTGTAGGAGGCCATATGATGCACATACATACACAGAGATGTTCATACGTATATAATAGTGCTGAAGTTGTAAGTAAAGCACTCCAAAGTCAGGAAATGCATCATCTAAGCTACTTGTATAATGTGCTCTCATTCCTGATATACACTGATCTCAAAACAGCTTCCCACACTTTTAGGGTAGCCATCCTTGCAAGTGCCAGACCTGTTTCACAACTTTAGGAACTGTGTTTCACCAGGAATACAGAGTCATAGGAAACACAGGGAAAATATGGTTTGATTAATCTCACGACTTCCAAAAAATTTAGTAAAAAAAAAAGTTTGAGATGATTATAAGTTTTATTTCAGCATTTTTTAGTCTGAAAAATTTAGTGTTTTCAGTTGAATCTTTTTTTTATCTTGAAATTTCACAGGCAAAAAAGATAGTATATTTTGTAGATTTTAAAGGAGATTGAAATGAATTGTTTTTCCTTCAGACTTCTAGCTTGTGATGGTCTCCAAAATTTATTTTTTTTTTGTCCCATTGGGACGGGGGACATTTTTTCTCTCACAGAACTTCTGATGACAGGGAGCTGACAGCTCTGATTTCCAAAGTGTCTTTGTAAGCTAAAGGCTAAATATGAAAGTGAGTCTAGGACACAGAAGAGAGGCCAGAAAGGCAAATGTGCATGTTAAACTGTGAAGACTGAGCAAAGTGAGAATCAACGTTTTTACTCCCTGAGAAGTTTTGATACATGGTATGTCTAGGAAAAGCCTTAAACCTGATATTTTGAGAGTCCTGTAGGCAGAATCCATACTTCCCATTTCTTCCCATGCTTACCACAAACTGTCTGTTGTCTCCAGCCATCCATACTGACTCCTTGCTGCTGACAGGCCAGCACATATTCCTCCAGACTGCGACACAAGGTAGTGACCTCATCTCCTTCCACACACATATCAAACAGGCAGCTCCTATGTGCAACATGAGAAAACATTAATTTCCAGTACATTTGTTATTGCTTATTTTCATCTGCTTTTCTGCCTGACTTTGAGTTAGTTCTGTGTTCCAGTATCTGCCTGATAGGAAACAGAGGAATAAAAAGCACCCCAGACACATAATTGGAAGATCAGGTCATTTGTTGTGCAGCTGCTGCTAATCTGTGAGGTGTTCATATAGAATCATAGATCATTAAGTCTAGAAAAGACCTCTAAGATCATCAGGTCCAACCTTTAACCTAACACTGCCAGGTCCACCACTAAACCGTGTCCCTAAATTAAAAATTTTCCTGATGTGCAATCTAGACCTCTCTTGGAATGAGCAATAAACTGTTACCTGACTTAGCACAATCAGTTATTCTTTGCTATCTGCTTCTGGTTTGAGCTACATCTTGCTTGTAGAGCAGTTTTTAGCACTGCTAAGTCTTACAGCTGGCCTACACACTTCTTTCAATACATGGGTACCCTCCCCATGTCCACGTGCCTTAATAGCACAGAATGCTGTTTTACCCAGTGTTTGTTTGCCAGTGCTACTTTCTCAGTTTTGCTCATCATTTGAATATCTGTGGCCTGATTTTCAGAGGCATTGAGATCCAAGATGAATGGAATCTGAAAATATGCAGTGCCTTGGTAAGATCAGGGCACTGCTAGGCAGGTAGAACAGGCTGCCCAACCAAATTCTAGAGTGAGGAGAAAAGTTATGTTAAGAATCAGCATATATACAGTGATCCACTTTATTTGGCTTAAGATACTGTAACATTCTTCTGACAGATAGGAGATGGGCATTGTCTGTCTCTAAACACTAGGTACAAGCATGTAACTAAAGAAAACTGGCAGCTACTTGGCATATTTGTGACTAATGACGGATGAATGATGAATGTGGGGATGAATACAGCTCAAAATTAAGTATGTAGGAATTGTATAGGTAGGAGGCAGAGCAACCCTGTAACACAGCAGAGGGAACTTTCTTAAAGATACCAGGTTAGTTACTCTTCACTACTCTGTTTTTTTTACTTCTCCATGAAAAATTCAAGAAGCATCACTGACAGCTTCAGCTTTTGGCTACAGCATGATATAGATTTTATGAAGCTAGAATTGCTTAAAGGAAGCCAATAGACCTAGGTGCTAAATTCTCACTGAATGTAGATGAGAACTGTAAGCACACTGGAAATCCCGGGCTACAGGTATAATGCTTAACACTGCTGCTTTATCTGTGTGCAAATATATATATATATATATATATATATAGCTAAGAGAGAAGTAAACTCTAAATAGATGAAAGAAAGGCCATCACATTTATGTAAAAATAAATAAGGGGATGTAAATATATCAATAATGGAATCACTGGGCCCAAAGACACTTATTATCCTCAGCCTCTATTAATGCCCTGGAGACTGAAGATGCAAAGTTCTTGTCAGAAACTATCACCAAAATGATTTTGCAAATGGGGAGAACAACTATCTGCAGTAAACACTTACGTGAAATAGAAATCCGGTAGGACTGTGGAATGACACGTTGCAAAAGGACCATTCAGGTCAGTCAGGATTTGGCATCTTGAAGTTGCATTTTGCTGCTCCAGCTGATTTTCGTTGCAACCTTGGAAAAGCCCTGGATCTGGCTCCTCCGCAGACTCATTTCCTGAGTTGACATCTCGTCTATAAATGAAGTCATTATGAAACCATCAGTGTTCTGTGTACATCCAGCATTCATGGTACTAGTCTCTAAGTAACACTGCAGGAACACTTCTGCCTCATAGTGTAAATGTAAGCTTATTTATCTCTCATGATTTGTCCTGAACGGGAAGGAAATAGATGTAGCAAATCAAAGACACGCTGGAATACTTCCTACGATCTCAGAGATTTATGGTATTTAAATTAAAAGGGATGTCTGTAGTTCTCTCTTTGGAAATTCTGCATGACACAGAACACCTCCTTCATCCAATCTATTCAACAAAATTGGAATGTTAGTCAGAAGGATACAGCTGAAATAAACCCCTGTTCCAGGGGAAGGACTGACATTAAATCAGGATTTACACTTGCTCAGGCCCATCTGGTATAGCATGTACTTATTTTTGCCAGCAACCGTGAGCTTGGCAAAGATGTTTTTTATTCCTCTGCCCCAGCAGTTGTAATGGCTGTGACTCCAAAGAGGGATACTGAACCACAGTAATGCAGTAATTCAGGCCTCTTTTGGCTAGATAGAAGGGCACTGATAGCTCACCTTAGTGGTGAGCAGGAAAAGTCCCTACACGCAAACAAAGGGAAGAAGAAAAACCAGAAATAAGACAGTGTAATTATTCCTGGAGGTTAACTATGGCTTAATCCTCTCACTTCTAGAGGCAGTACTTGCCATGGATATTAAGTAGAAAATCAAGTACCTGAAACGAGAGCTTCTTTTTAAAGGAACTTTCCAACTTTCACCGAATACATTCACGTTCTTCACCCAAACACCATCTGGATTTGTGAAGTCATTTCTATATCTCCCATCAAAGTCACCACACAAGCCTTCCACTCTGCTTCCATAGGTGTTGGCCAGCTTTATATCTAGGGAAGGTCAGAAGAAAAAAAAAGCTCTTACACAGAAATCGTTGTCTCTGAGTGTAGGAAGAAGTGGAAAACAATGCCAAGTGCCACATTTTATGACTCAGATTGAAGTTCGTAACATGACATGGGCTTCACATGTAGCATGTGAGCACAGCCCTGAACATACATGTTCATACATGTAGCCACGGGACTGTTTCTGTGCTCTGCAACATGGATCATGAAAAAAAGAATTTCTTGCAGTAATTTCTTATAATATGTTATTATATAGCACAACATCATGCCCAAATGCTCTTAGTGCATGCTGCTTACTGCTTTGCAACAAACTGAATGCATCACCCACTTTTTGTCCTTCACTGGCAATCCACTTGACCACTGAGAAACAGAATTCCTACAAGCAGACTGTTTCTTTCTGCAATTGGAATTTTAGGTTTGGGAATGAGGGTCATATAAATAAATTGCCTGGCCCTTTCACCATACACTTAGAAATAAAATAGCTATATGCTGTTGTAAATCAGGATTAACTTTGGAATGACAACATTTTTTGAGACAGTGCATAAATATTTCAGCACATTTTTTTTAGTATCACTTACCTGCATTTTGATTGCCATCAAAGCTCACATATAAGCCAAAATCTGTCTCTAGGTAAATTCTTGTTATCCTCTGATATATATGAATACCTTCATGAGGTCGAAGAGGGGGTCTCACACGGACACCATCCAACTAACAGGGAAATAAATTAAAATTCATTATATGTAGGCCAAATTAAAATCTGGCTTCAGTACAGGTCAATGCTACATATCAACATTTCTTGCTTTTCATGATAAATGTATCAGATAATTTAACCAGTAAAAACCTCAGTATTTAATTTTTTAAAGTTAACAAAATCATATATTGAGGAAAGTGATCTGGACACAGTACTTTCATATCATCATAAGAGATTTCTATTATTGAGCTAAAGCGAATATAGGGGCTATGTATATTCTTACACGCCAATAAAAGGGAAGGAAATTAAATTATCCTAGCATAATTCACACTTTCCCCTACCACTGATAAAAATTTGTGTGGCTTTATTTTAAGCCTTGGGATATTTGGTGTTTTATTCCCAAAACTCTATTTATACATTTATTTGTTTGAAGTAGAATCATATCCTTCATAGCTATGGAGCAAAAAAGACTCAACACAACTGAAAATCTCATTTGTGGTTGTCTCATAGCACTGCTGTAATAATACAGTTTAGTAGTTTTGTACTTTAATTCTTCAAAACAAACATTTATTACCCAGAGGTGTTTTACTCCAAGGGAGAGTCTTTCTCCATGCTCTGCTGTCAGGGAGAAACTTACCAGAACCTGCTTGTTCTGCCTGAACCGCACTGTGTGGTTGTAAACATTGATGAGAATCTCTTTCAGGTAGGTAATGTGTCGAAATAGGAGTAAAGGAGAGTTAATGCCTTCAATGCTGAACGGTGTGAGAGTATCAGGTAGGTCAGGGATGGTCTGAGCCAAAATATACGTGTATTTCCCTTGGAAGTGGTGCACCAGACCGTCGAAGGTGGTGTAGTGTGGGTCGCCCAGGATCTGGCATCTTCCAAAACCTAAAAAGGAAGAGCTTCATTACTCTCCAGTTTAAATGTGCATGTGTCAGATCCCATGCATAGATTGGTTCAAAATGGTAGATAAAAATTATTGCTGCTAGCATGCAGGTCTGAAAGTAAAGGTGGGTGCTCAGGCATCACCCTAGTGAATGAACACTGAAACAGAGAGATGGACAGAAAAACTCATTCCTCTGCTGAGAACCAGTGTGAGCCAGATGAGCTGAAGCAGAACATTAGAGTTTATAGACATTATAGAGACTAAGTTGTGCATATTGGCCCTCTGCTGCCACACAGCATGGCTTGCAGTGGGCTCTTAGAGATGTTGATTTCATAAACCTCAGCCGTGCATTGCTACAAAATTGAAAAGCAATGTCTAACTTTGGCTTGCCCACTGCTGTCACTGATTTCCTCTGAGGTTACCAAAATGGATGATTGCGTTCACCAGACCTAACAATCAGATGCAGTGACTATCATCCCTGCGTTCTTGACCACTGAGCGCAGAGTAAACCATTATACCAGGAGCAAGGCTATCCTTAAGGCTGCTGGGGTGCCTCTGCTCCGGTATTTTGCCAAAATGTAGCAGGGGAACACTGGATTTGCACTATGCTTTTGTGCTGATACTCAATACACTATGATTGATGACATACTATTCTTCAAAACTGAAGTGCAGAGGCACTAGGCAATAAGCTGTCTCCCAAACAACCCAACTTACCTAGAGAATATGGGATTAACTTTGCTTAGCCAAAGCAATATTGAACAAAAGTACAGAGTTCTCTGACTGGCCTATTATGTATCTGTTCAGATCTGCTCTGTCTTGGATTTTGTTTATTGATTTTTTTTTTCTGTTCTCAAATCAACATGCAGTGAATTTTTTCTTAAATTTATTTATTTATTTAAACTAGTCAGATCGAACTAGATTTCTAGATATAAGTAAATTTTCATACCCTAGTATCCATTTCCCTCTACAAATTCTCTGTTTGGAGCTGGAACCTTTTATTATGAGAACTGAGGCTTTTTATATTCAATAATGTGTCATCAATAACACTGTCAGAGTTTCCTTCTTTCCCCTTGAAAGTCTGGAGTTGCCATGGAAGAAAGAATGGACACACATATTCTCCCCCTCCTTCTCCAACCCTCATGAAACACCAAATGAAGACTTGCTTGCACGTACCTGTTGGATGGCACTTGTGTTTTCCATTTTGGATCACACAGGTTTCTCTAGAATCACAGCTATAGCTGTTACAACTGATGACACCGTTCTTCTGACACTGGCATCTTCTGGCGCAGTATGGAGTTATCCATGTCTCCCCAGCCTAAACACAAGTTATGGTGATAAGATGTTATCAAGGTGTTCAGCTTTGCAATGCAATAATAGTTCAATAGCTAAGGGTGTGGGGACAGGTTAGGTGCAGCCTGTCCAGTTGGTGATTCCACAAAGGCTCAATCCAAGCGTAGTCTCACCAAGAGTGTGGGAGTGGGGATCTCAGTCCATTTATCTTATTGTCTTTGACATGAGAATTTGAGCACAAAACAGGATAGGAGAGACTGCCTGCATACCTCTGATCAATTGACTGTTTTCAAATGTGCCTGAGTTTTGGCCTCAGGTGCAAAGTACAAAGCAAGCTTCTGCATCTCCTAATACCCAAGCCTGAAGCTTTTACTCATCAGATGAGAGGTATTTAAGAGGTAGACCCTGAAGACTTTGATCTTTCTCTCTCTCTTTCTCGTATTAAGATTGTCAGGAGACCAACTTTCTGCAGAAAAGCCATAGATTTTGAAGTCACAGATTTACTCCACAAACTACTTACACTGTAGTAATTGTTGTCATCATCCCTGCAGCCACAACTGCTCAGAGGTACACAGTTGCCATTACTGAGCACATAATTATCATCACACTCACAGCCCTCTGTACACTCTTCTGTCTTGTCACAAAGGGAAGAGGCAAAAATGTCATTGCATGTTGATGGACAGGCAGAGACACAGTCTTTGTAATGGCTCCGGGATGGGCAGGGCAATGCTGGGTGGGAGAATAGGAGCAGCGTTATTAAATACATCTACAAAGTGCACTGCAAACACTGAAAGCTACGCATTGGCCTATGAAATGGTAGTATGGAGTTACCTTTTAATAGCTGATTTTGATGATCAACCAATTTTTATTTTTGTATTTTACTTAAAAAAACCCAAAAAACCAAAACAAAGCAAAGAACCCTTTCCGGAGCTGCTCATGCAGTTTTATTACAGGTATGCCTGAACTGGTGGCACCTGGCACTAGATCATTCAGGTTCAGTGTTCCAGTTATGCTGCAAATGCCTCTTTGGGCACTGCTGCATATGTGAATCTTAAGGGCAAATATTTTAGAATGTTCCACCCTCCATTAATGCAAACCAGGTGTAAATTTAGCTTAACCACAAACATAAACACATACAAGATATGCACTGCACTTTCAGACTGCAGATTCATCCAGCTCCATACCACATTTCTGCCAGTGACTAGAGACGCGTAAGGGGACAGTTCAAGAAACAGGCTAACATGACAAAAAGTTTGTTAGTCCAGTATTTTCCTCTACTTGTGGCAAAGAGGCAACTGGGGATTTCTGATAGACCTATTCAACATTCATCTGGCTTGTTTTTTAACCAGTTAATTGTTTTGTCCTCCCCAACATTATGTGATAATCCCACAATATGATACTAAATTGTGAAAAATCCCCCACAAATAAACCCCCCACTACCTGATCTTTATTTATTTTTGCATAATTAGTATGTAGCTTTGTTGAATTGGTGGAGTGAGGCACATACCCTGGAAATTAATCCGAGAATATGGCCTGTAATAAACAACTGGGTAAACTGACAGTTTTCATTCAAATCACAGTGAGTGTCATTGAGCCCTGTGTCCTATGACAGTATCCAACTTTCTTTTAGTCTTCTGGTTCTATTATTTCTCCATTTTAGGCTCACTGCAATATCTCATGGCACTCATGTGGCTACTAAAACCATTCTAACTCCAGATTAGTATCCATATCTTGCCTAGTTCTGAGTTATCACTGGGTTTATATGAATCTGAACACAATTCAGCACAGCAATGGAATCATAGTAGTAGAATTGTGTTTTGTGAGAATTTGGATTTATTTTCCTTTGACATAACTTGTTCACATAATTCTGCTTATTTGTTTTCATACTATCAGTCATCCAAGTTTCAGTTTTTTCCCTTGCTTGTGCACTTACGACAGAATGTGTTATTCCTCCATTTAATGGTGATTCCATGGTTCTTGCAGGTCTCCACATAAGCTTGAACTATGTCGCAGAGAGCAGACTTCATGCCATCATACTGGCACATGTCATAGATGCAGATCTCTACAAAGTCTTCAGGGTTGACTAGATTATGGCATACTTTGAATTTGTCTGATTTTAGGACATTACACTGGCTTTCAATGACTTGTTTATTCTCAGCAGTGCAAGGGGGATTATCATCTTCTCTTAAGTCTGGTAAGCAACTGCAAGAAGGCACAGACACAGGCATCTAAGTTCCAAAGGCATGCTGAAGACGTGAAAATTGAAAAGTTTTTTCTACTGTGAGGTAGAAAAGGCTAGAGACTACAGTCTTCCTTCTGCCTGAGTGAAAGACTAGGCAGAATTAGACCTGCCTGACAACCACCATGCTGTGTCTGACACTTGTTACTCTCACTAAACTTGACCCTGACTAGAGGATTGGCGCACAGCTTGATCTTGGATCTGTCTCATCACCGCAAATTTGTGTGGTGATCTGGACTGAGCCAGGCTGTCTCCAGCTTCCACTGTGGGCCTGAGGCCACTGTTTTCTCAGCTGTGTTATCAAATATGACTTCCTGTCCCCTAGGGAGCAGCTGGCCCTCACCATTCCCCAGCACCATCATCTGGCTCTGGGTGTTATCAGTGTAAAATAGACAGAGGCTGTGTACACACTGGAGTGCCCCAAAGACTAATTCCCCAAGTGTGTATGTCAATTGATAGAATGGCTGTGGGTTCCCTCTGGCCTGTGCAGTGGTTTCCTGTGGGGATGGCCTTTCTTTGGGCTTCATATTCAAGAAAAGTCTCACTCTCACTGCTTACATGTTACAAAGTAGTAGACAGTCAAAACAACTGAAAACAATTGACTGTTTTCTGAAGCGAGATGGAAGGTATGAAAAGACATTAATATTTACCCCTTATCACTGTCTTCCTCCACTTTCCAGCTATTTCCAAACTGTGTGGCACTGACAACTGTTCCATTGGGCAAGGACAGATCATCTTCACGATTATCATTGAGATTACCACACATGCCATGCACCTGCAAACAAAAAAGAACCGTATTCTAAGCATGACCTGTTCACATCAACTTCCCCAATAACTTCTTATTCATTGCCTATGAAATAATGTGACCAAATCAACCACCAATCTTGTACTAGACATGTTAGACATTCTGACTGCACCCATGGAGAAACAAAACAGATATTGCAGTAAATCTGTGATTCCCTGAGGCTTCAAGGTATTTATTTCTCTAAGTTAGATGTATTCCTCTAGACAGGTAATTTTCTGTAACTACCCCCTCAGAACACAAGGAAATTGTTGTGAAGAGAAAAAAATGCAAAGGAAATAATTGTCATGTGTTACAATACAACTACAAAGAAAGATGCAATAGCAAAACGCAAGAATAAAAGGAATTAGAAGTAAATGCAGAAAGCAGTAGTTTTGAAGAGCCAGATGTTTGCACACTAAATCTTACCTGTGAGAAATAAGATTGTGGGAGGGTGATTTCCAGATGGTGATCGCCGTCATATTTCACTATCACACCAAAGTCAGTTTCCACGACTATAAATCTGCCAACATTTCCAATGGACACGCCTTGCAGTCGGTTCTCCACTGGAGTGTAGACTCTCTCATTGTTCAGCTGGAGAGACATGTCATTTTGTCAGTATGGACATTGTTCCATGAAAGCTTTTCTGCTCACAGTCTATAGTTCTAGCAGTGCTGAAGATTTCTATGTGACAGTTTTAGCTGTTTACACTTCCACCATTGCATATTCCAACTATGGGTTGCAGGAATAAGCCTTTTAGCTGAGGAGAGATGGGCAGGACTCATATCCTGTGCCTTTAACAGAGAGCTTAAAAGATCACTGTAGTGAGCAAGCTCTTACTCACCCTTAGGGTAGACTCCCTGCCTCCAGGACTGCCATGGATCCCCATGTTATTCTAAACTGATACAGTATGACTTGCCTTTCCTCTGCTCTTGTTAGCCCACTATAGGTGATTGGCTTGACAAGAACTGTTGAAGTGGGGAGTCCCATACTTTAATTCAAGCAACAGTTCTCCAATCTGGAGGCTCTGGGCTCCATCTCAAAGATATGACCAATAAAACAGTAAACCCAAACCAGAAGCCTTGGGAACTACTGAGAAATTATATCTGCTCATGATATCCACTTAATGGAGGTGCCCACAAGTATTAAGCATATGCGTACATATTCCTTAGGAAACATGAAGATCCTTTTTCCTACAGCTACTGTAAGTGAGCTAATTTTAAGATACTTCTTGCCAGAGTAAAGAGCACCACCACCTACCAGGATTCCTTGGTTTTTCTGAAGGGTGATTCGTACATCATGCACATCTATATAGACTTCTTTCAGGTATGTGGCCCCTCTCAGTCCTCTGTCTTCATTCTTGCCCAGTATGGTTATAGGAATGACATTGGTGGAAGTGTTGACAACCTCAACCAAAGTGTAGGTGCAGGTTCCCATGAAAGTGTACTTCATTCCATCAAAAGTGAAATAATGGGGGTCTCCTATCACTTGACATGTTGCTTGACCTGAATGTGAAAAAAAAATATCTAAGAACTTTGTACTGGACTTAGTCATGGAGTCAGCTGATAAAGGAGTTTGCATAAGTGTAACAACCTAATCCTGATAAATATTATGTGAGCAAACTTTCACAGAGGCATCTCAGGTTCATGCCAATGACATTTATTTGAAAATAAGAAATTTCTAGAGAGCACCTCCTAAATTTAATTTGCAAATTACATACAAAATGACAAACTGGCATCAAATGAACTTTTGTATATATTTCTATATGCTGTTGCAGCTACAATTTATGGTATTTGAGAGTAATACAGAGCTTTTCTAATTATCTATGCAAAGATATAGAATTATCTGTATAAACATGGGTGTAAAAGTAAATAAAATTTCATCTGTATATATCAATATATAGTGCACTCATCATAGCCCAGACCCACAGAAATGCAATTCTCAATTATTCTCATATTTATAGCTTGCAGTACTGGTGATGTGGGACATGAATTTTCATTATCAGGACAAACAGAACCCAAGTGACCTTGGGCATCATCAGTTTTTGCTGATATTCACTACAAAGGAAGGGCCTTTGTGCTTGCAAGACAGAACATCATATTTCCAACTCTTAGCAATGGCAGCAGTCAGTTGGGACTTCTTTACTATCACATGGGAAGAAACATTTATAATGAAGTTAGAAGGAGAAGAGGATCTAATTATAGAATTGATATTGGAATGATTTTCAGGCAGGACTTACCATTGGAATGACAGCCCAGCACACCATCCTGAATGCTGCATTCCTCTTGGACTCCACACTCCCAGGATGTGCATTCAATGGTGTTATTAGCCTTGCAGGTGCAGCGTTCAGTGCAGGGATAATGGGTGAACCAGCTTTCATCCAGCTGAGTGGAAAAAAGTGTGTAGAATTATATACTATAAGATAAATAAGAACGTAAAACTGTAAGGAAATAAAATTTTCAATATTTGAATGTGCATGATATGTGATCATTTGGGTAATTGTAGCCACGCAGCTCATGTATCAGGAAGACTGGCAAAGTAATTCTATTTTGAAATTATTAGTGGTGTAAATATTAATTGTGTAGTGTTATTAACATGCTTTTTCTCTCACAGTGATAAGGAATGAGATTCTCCCCCTCCGCCTTTTTTTACTTTATTTATTTATTTACTTAAATGCCTGAGGTAACTTGCCTGGTGATACTGGTTCTTTTCATCAACACAACCACAGCTGCTTTCCGGCACACATTTGTCTCCACTCAAAACATAACCTTCCTTACAGAAGCAACCTTCCACTGGTAAAGAACTGCAGGAATCAGCTGCTGAGATGTTCAAACAGGTAGAGGGACACCTAGTACCACAGCTCTTGTAGATGCTGCCTCCAGGACAGGACATTGCTAGATAAAGAGGAAAAATAAGATCACTCTAAAGGGCAAAATTGTGGCAAAAGTTTTCCTGATGCTTTCACTGTTTGCTCCTGAAAATACACAAAATTGCTGTTAGAAAGCCTGACACAGGACAGTGCTGCGCACAGAGGACTCTCTTTCCGTGTGAGATGGGTGGCTTTTGATAAAGGTGGGCAAGACACATGGGCCACCCTTGCACTTCACCTCACAACAAAGTCAAACATTGCAGGCCTGTGTCGAGGATAGGTCTGATGTTATCATACACAACAATCAATTGTGTTTGGTTCAGTAAACCTTTTTCTGCTGGTTTGAAGGCAGAAAGTCACTCCATTAAGGGAATAGAAAAATCTCTACCCATACCAGCTGATATGTCCCCATTACTGTTGTTACTATTTGAACATCTGCCATGTATTTTAAAATAGAACTAAAAATGACACTCTGTCTTTCACTGAGAACACTTGAGGAAAATATATTATATTTTCACACCCCTGCTGCTCATGGTAAAATTGGGTTTCTATCACTCAAAGCGTTGTCCCCAGGGATAACATTACAATTTACAGAAATCTAGAAGCATTTCTCTGTTTCTGTCATCTAAAAAAACACAGAAAAATTGTTTCTGGCTAGATTCTGTGATAAATCACTACATATGATTCTCTTTTATCTTGTCCGTACTCAGAACATTACACAAAATGAAATAAACATGCACGAAGAGGGTAGAGGACAATGAAGTTAAAATCCAGAATAGATGTTTATATCACAACACTCACGGCAAAGAGTAGAATTCCTCCACTCTATGCATATGCCAGCATTGATACATGACTCAGCATAGGCCTGTAGTCCGTAGCATAGGGATATTGCCTGTCCACCAGTGAAACACATGTCATAAACACAATTTTCAAAGAAATTCTCTGGAGGCACTTTGGTATGACAGTCCTTGAAGATTCCTGTGTAAATCAAAAAAGATATATAGAAGGATAGAAAAAAACAACTGGAATGATAAGATCATAACCACCATCTATTTTCTGTCACAGCAAATGTATTGTGAGTGCTCCAGGCTAACTTTGTTTAGTAAATTAAACCAGTACTTGAAATGGATGCACAAGGCAGAATCAGAGTGAGCCCTCTGGATCAGGTTTTCTTCTTTTTGCAAGATTGATACTACATAGCTTACATAAACTAAGTGTTGCTGCCTAGGAAAACCACTAATTCTAGACAACTACAGGGACTGTCCAATGCAAGGAACACGTACAGAATTTTAGTTAAAGTATCTGTAATACATACACTGACAGTGCCCTCTGAACTACTCTTTTAGCAAGCAGAGTGCAAGTCACTATAAAGAAAAGAGCAGCTTCCTGAACATGTCCTGAGATAACCTTCATGGACACATGGGCACTGTCTGAACAGATGACATATCCTGACCGAGCACCTATGAGTTTTACATAGGCCATTTACACTGGAGGCTTTACAGCTTCCAGTGTGAGCTCAGGAAAACAGACTATAAAGAAGGGACAAGACAAACTGTAACATGTTCCATCATATGGCTCACAGAAAACTACCAGCATATTACCTGTTGGGTCTGTGATCATACCACATGCTGTGTTCTTCTTTGCTTCACTCTCCAACACAGGATCACACTGCTCTTCTGTCCCACCACTGGAGCATCTGGGGAAAGCAAGCAGAATCAAATGTGTGTTTCTCATCATTTACTATAAGATTTTCAGTGTAAGATTGACACATGACAACCCTGCACAACAGACTGTACTTTATGTCAGTCACAAGACTTTATCCAGCTTCTTTGAAAAGCTGATGTCAGCCCTCTCACTGAATGGGCTCATTTTTTTGATCCCTTCTGGGCTATTCAAAGGCTTATTCTTAGCTGAAAAAAACCCAGTTATGGAATCCAAACAGTTATGGTTTCCAATTAGGGAACTGGACTGAAGTCCCATCCTCCCTCACACTCAACAGACAGTTCCTGCTTTGGAAAACAAGACTTAAAGGACATAACCCTCTTATCATTCTCTGGTTTACATACAGGTACAGCTCCCTACTTTTAATTGGCAGCTGGAAGATGTGGAATGGTACTGGATGATAAAGCCAGCAAGCAAGTGGATGGCTATTTGATTTTAAAGAGTTTGGTTAACAAATGCCATGTGATTAAATTATTATACATACATGGTGTTATTCTCAGGTACAAGCCAGCTTTCTCCAAGATCAGTAGAACCACTGGCAATATCACCATTGGGTTTTATATTGTCATCATTTGGATCACCATTATAATTACCTGTGAAGGTAAAAGGAGATTTATGGAAAACATGAAGTTCAAACCTGTAGAACAATACTAGGTTTCAGGCTGTAAAATAAAGTAAAATATTATAGGGAGAGTATATCTGCAACAACAATGTGTACTGGGCAAAATAAGAAGAGCAGAATTGTGTTTTAGGCTTTGACTGAGCTGCTGTTCAGACACTTGTGGACTTGAAGCAGGAAGTCTGCAAGCTCCTGTGTAACCAGATTACATTGCATCCAAGAAAGAACTTCTTAGCTTAAAAAAAAAATCCCAACTCATTTTCTTGTTTCCTACGTGTAGAACGTTGGACTAAAAATTACACAGTGCTATTTGCACCACTATATTCTTAGGTAGATTTCCTGCATTGAAAGCATGAAAAACCCATGGAGAGATAATAGAACTAGGAAGTTCTAGATGATCCAAACCAAAGAATAATCAGAAACGTAGTAGTCTAATGTTTCTTCTTTTTCTTCTTTTCTCATTCTTTTGATTGTTTAAACATGATCATTCAGGTTGTATAAATGCCTTCTAAGAGCACAGAAAAAGAGAAGCAGGAAAACTTGAGGATGCTGACAGTAAGCTATTAAAGATTTCTCTCTGCTGTGCAAACAGCTTCAGGTTTTTATAATTCACAGAATGAAATGGTATATCATTTCCACACCAAACAAAAGACAAATACATCAGAATGTAAATAACATAAAAATGTATTTGTAGAATTCTTTAATAGCTCCAAGCAAAAAATGACTCTCCTTAATTTTAAAGTGTAGAACTTAAGGCAGCTTTTTTATTTGGCTAAAAATGTTATTTTTAATTATACCTCACAACATTCCAAATGGATAGCATGTTACCAGGAAATTTTAAAGTTCCTCTTAGAAACTGAAAAAGTCTAGCAAGTTTTTTTTCAGAGCTGTAAATTCTAGTCCATTTGACAGGGACCAGTTTTGTGTAGAACAAGTAACGCATCCTAAAAAAAAAAAGCTGAAGTAATCACTGGCCTCCACAACTCACTAAAAAATGACTAAGTCTACAACTTACCACAGAGGCCACAGAGCAGATGACTGTAATTAGAGGGCACGGAGACTTCCGCATAGTGGTTTCCATCATATCTAACCCACAGTCCAAAGTCAGTTTCCAAGAGAATATATCCACCACTGCTTTGAATACTGATTTTCTTCTCAATAAATACAGGCAGGTTCATTCTGCGACCATTCACCTGTACAGCAAATTGTAAAAGTTAGTGCATGACTGCTGGGACTCCTACAACTACCAGCAGCTAGTACAGATTACTGAAAGATATGATCTTGTGCACAAAGCAACTGGAAATAATTAAAGAACATTTAATCTGAGCAAGTTTGTTGGAGATCTCATTAAAAGAGGTACATGTCATTAATAAAAAGAGAAAGTCTCCTATAAACTCTACAGAGGAAATATTTTATTATTGGCATGTCAGTTAAAAATATGTTATATATCTCTTTTAATCAAGTATTTTCTTACATTCACTTTCTTGTTTTTCAGTAGAGAAATCTGGTTGTCATAGACTTCCACTTGCACTGACTTCACATAAGAGACTTTGGTGTTGGCTCCTCTGTGCTCATTTGTTGTGGACACATGGAAGTATGGAAGCTTCTCAGAGACATTGCACACTTTGGAGAGCGTGTAAGTGCAATTTCCCATGAAATTATGGACTCTGTGGTCAAAAGTGTTATAATGTGGATCTCCAGAGGCGGTGCAGGAAGCACGGTCTGTGAAGACAAAAAGACAGACTAATTCCCTCTGAATCTTCATCAGATTTTTGCAGTTGCTTGGTTTCCACTTTGTTTTACTTTGTATTTGCTGCTCTGATATAATATTGACAGCAACAGCACTCCAAAGGCCAATCCAGTCTTCTATCTTTGGACCCATAAAAAAACCTGTACTTGTGTATCAGAAATCTATGCTAGAGGTTGAGGAACAAATGTGAGCAAAAGGCTTTGATATGAAAGAAAAAAAGGCACTGCTGTTAAGACATCATTATACAAACTGTAGCAGTGAGTTTTTAGTGTCGATATCTGAAAGGCTATTTCTGACTAAATAGGAAGAATTTCCATAACATCTTTACAGTGTTGGTTAGCCAGAATAGCTGCACTACCAGCTGTCTGGGTTTCTGTACTCACATCATTTATGGAACTTATATTGAACATTGCATACACAAGATATCCTTTACACATTTTTAAAAAATATCAAAGTTAACTAGGCAGTGATAATATGTACAAATGGAAGTACACTGTGCGTTCATTGAAGTGTGTAACGCGGAGAAGATTTTGAATGTTAATAAGAAATTCCTGTTTTGAAGAAAAAAAATTCCCATCAACTCTTAACAGAGTTGAGATTGAAGGTTCTTCATGGTGCTTCCCAATAATAAAAAAAGATAGAGATCCTTTCCTCTTTCTTTTTCAATGGAATGTTAAAATGTAGCTACACGTACGGTTGTTGTCTATATGTGAAGCTTAACTCCTTACACAGAAAGTATTAATGCTCCCAGAATGGCATACTTAACAGTTACCAAAAAAAGAGCAGAAGAAATCTAAACTGATTAGGTGAACTAGGACTCTCTTGTATTTAACAAGCTGACATATGCAGATATAAGTGCTTAAAATTGGAGGAAAGAAACAATTAAAATTTATCAAAGGGTATTTTAGTATATATCCTAAATATTAAACTAACACTAATTGCACTGAATCAGACTTTGACAGGAAAATACAATTGGCTTATATCACACCCCAAAAATAAAATTTGGAAACTAAATTAAATTTCAAAATATACAAAAAATAACATCTGTATAATAGGTGAAAACTTACCATAGAAAAAAGTAATTTAAATATTTATGGACATGGAAATAAAGAGTATGTGAGATAACTATTAGATGGCTCGTCTACTCTTACCAAAAAGCTTGGCATTGTGGCAAAAGAGACCTAGAGGAGAGTGTACATAGTCAGAACTCAGAAGGAGTCCCAGACATAAAGAAATATTGTGCAAGTGCAACTGAGGGAGCAAGGAAAACTCTGATCCTCCAGTATAAAAACTCTATCACTTAGCTCTGACACTTCAATTCAGAAAATAGGAAAGTTCTGAGAGCCAATAAGAAAACAAGATGGGAAACAACAGTACCTGAGCTGGGTATTGGTGTTGTTGGGGATGTTGTGTGGGCAGGCTGCATTGTAGTGCCTGGCAAGGGAGTCGTGGGTGTTGGTGTTGATGGACCTAGGGCAAGAGACAGTTAGAGGAGATGTGCAGCAAGCCAAGCACCAGACCAGTTAAGTAAAACATGAGTGTTAGAGTGCTAGAGTGAAGGTGAGGCCACCTTTCCCACTGTCACACAGTGCTCACGTACAGCCACATACACACCCATGGTATGCCCGTGGCCAGGTGAGGGTGGCCAGCCAAGGGGAAAGGCTTAGCACAGCCAGTAAAAAACATGGATGGGAGACAACCGTACCTGTGCTTGTCCCAGGTGCCGGTGAGGCTGTTGTATGTGGAGGCCGTGTTGTAGTGTCTGGCAAGGGGGGCGAGGGGGTAGGAGCTGATGAATGAAAGAGAGTGAACCAGAGGTGGAGAAGGTGTGTTTTGTAAGGGGATTTGTTCCCAAATGGGGATGTTGCACCCTTCCCAAACACCACCGCACCATGGCAAAAGAACTGTAGGACGCACACCAGGCCAGTGAGGTGACAGGTGGGGAAACCTCCAGCACAGCTGCCCCATTCCTTGAATCAGGGAGAGAGTCAGGGAAATCAAAGGAGATGGACAGAAGACTTACCACAGACAGTGCCAGCACTCCAGTCTCCCAGGGCAACCCCTGCCTCCGTACAGGCTGTGGCATAGGCCCCCAGGTCATTGCAGAGCTGCTCCGTGCTGTTGCCCGTGGCACACTGGTCATAGACACAGCTCTCAAAGTAGGTCTGGGGTGGCAGAACTGCATGGCATGGCTGGAACGGGCCACCCAGATGCGTGAGGATTGAACACTGCTTGTTAGCTGCCTCCTCCTCGGCAGGGGAGCAGGACACAGGCGGGCCGATGGCTGGGTCACACCTACACAGCAGACAGACAGCCCTGAGCTCACCGCAGCCACACCATTTCCTCACCTCCTCCCCAGACAAAACCTCAGCTTCCGGAGCCCAGATCCCCCCCTAAGACAGGCACCAACGGCATCGCTTGCAAGGGTGGAACGCATGGCCCGCAGTCACCAGTCCCACCCCTGGAATCAGGTGGACAGAAGAAAATGCCTCAGGCTGTTGCGATCCCAACAACTTGGGAAAAGTGTCATGCCCAGGCCCTGGACCACCCTCCCAGAGGTCAAGAAACTGCCTCTTCTCCCTTGGCCCATGCCTGCCATCACCAACCCTTCCTCCTGATGGCCCTCATAGCTCCCCTCTCCCAAACTCCCTCTTGTCCTTCATCTGCAAGATAGATCAGGGACTCACGGCCACTCATCATCCGGCACCATCCAGCTGGCTCCAAAGTCATTGAAGTCGGGCACGACAACTCCATCGGGGCGCGTGAAGTCGTCCTGCTGGCTCCCAGTGTACGTCCCACACAGCCCACAGAGCTTGCCCTTGTGCTTCTCAGACACCTTCACGAGGAGCTCGTGGTCCCCGTTGAACTGCAGCTGCAGGCCCAGCTTGGTGGAAACATGCACGTAGGAGCCGCTCAGGGAAATGGTCACACCGGGGGCAGGAGAAGCAGGCAGGGAGACCAGAGCACCGTTGACCTGGAGTAGGGGGAAAGAGGGAAGCATAAAGAGGTGCCCTCTGCTGAGAGGTCCCTGTTCCTCACTGGGGTGGTGCCAGGGCCCAGTGAGTCGGAAGCACTGATGGCATGAGAAACCCTGCCCAGGCCTACGAGGACACCAGCAGCTCTACATACGGCCCAGCCAAAAGTCAGGAAACCAGCCCAAAATCTGCGGCTGCACGAGCAGCCACATCTGCCTCACTCAGAGCCTCGCCAGGCTCTTCTGCGAGCGCACAGCAGGCTGAGGGAATAGCAAGCTCTCCCTGGGGACAGAGTGGTATTTAGGGGTGCTTAGTGCATCTGTGGTTCCCAGGGGTAAAAGTGAGGGGCTTACGTAGACGGCCTTGCGCTCGCGCAGTGCAACGTGGAGGCCTTCCAGGGACAGTGCCACAGAGTTCAGAGCTGTCCAGCTCTGGCTGCCACGATGTTCGTTGCGGGTGGTGACACTGAACCCGATGGAGGAGTTGTCACAGCCTGTCACAACGGTGTAGTTGCAGGAGCCCTGGAAGTGGTGAAGCTTCCCATCGAAGGTGCTGTAATGCGGGTCACCGTAGATGTGGCAGAGCGCAGTGCTGGCTGGGTAACAGCCCCTCTGGCCGTTCTGGATCTTGCAGACCTCCTCCTCGCCACAGGACAAGGCAGAGCAAACCATCTGGCTGTTGGCTTCACACCGGCACCGGCGAGAGCAATTCTCGTTCACGAAGTACTCGCCTTCCTGCAGGAACGGAAACGCCAAACGTCAGTGTAGGACGCAGGAAAACTGAGGGAAAGGAGTCCCTGGGAGGGGTGCAAACCAGGGCAGGGCTTTCACTCACGCTGTAGTAGTTGTCCTCAAAGAGGCAGCCACACTGGGCCTCGGGCACACAGGTGTCTCCGCTGAGGAGGAAGCCAGAGGTACACGCACAGCCCTCCACGCAGGGCTTGGAGCAGTTCTGTGGGGCTTGTCGGTCAACACAGGTGGCAGGACAGCCGGTCATGCAAGGGTCATAGGAGCTGTTGGAAGGACACTTCAGGGCTGCAATGGGAAGGGGACAATTAGGACCAGCAAGACTTCAAGCAAGGAAGGCCTTCTTGGAGGGGGAAGGCCAAATACTGTCTTTGGTCAGAGGTTCTGGGCAAGGGGAGCGGCACATTTCCCTTCTGGCAAGGGCAAGACAGGTACTCACGGCAGAAGGTAGCATTCCTCCAGGGCAGAAGAGTCACGCCGGCTGCCTGGCATGCGTCAGCATAGGCCTCCAGAGCAGCACACAGAAACTCCTGGCCACCATTCAGGGCACAAAGGTCATACAGGCAGGTGTCAAAGTAGCTCTGGGGGTTGATCACGCTGTGGCACGTCTCAAAAGAGCTGGGCGTGCTGGTCAGTATGCCACAGAAGCGGTCCGACTTGTAGAGCTCCTCCTCCTCTGCACTGCAGGGTGGGGAGGGGACGGGGACACCGCAAGAGGGGTCACTGTCTGGGACCTGCCAGCTCTCCCCCAGCGCATTGGAGTCTGCGGCTTGCTGCCCGTTGGGCATCATGTATTCGTCGTCTCTCCGGTTGTTGAAGTTCCCGCACATGCCACAGGTCAGGTTGAAGTAGGTGGTGGGCACCTTCACCTCCACTGAGTGGTCAGTGTCGTAGGACACTGTGAGGCTGAAGTCTGTCTCCAGGACGATGTAGCGGCCGCTCTTGCTCACCGTGATCGCACCTCCCGCTGCCCTCACCGGCAGGGTCTGGCGCACGCCGTTCACCTAGGGCAGACACAGCACCATGGGCCCTGGACTTGTCCCTGGCCTCCCCGGGGTCTCCTGCCTGGGGAAAGCAGCTGCCAGGCCAGGCACGGCAAACAGCTGCCTGGGATACCCTCACACCCCACACCCCTGGGGCCCACAGAGCCGTGTCTGGGTCCTGCGCTCTGCAGGGGCCTCTGCTCAACACAGAGCACATTCCTTGGTTGCCCCTTCCTCCTCCAACCCCTCTGGAAGGGAAAAACAAAGGGGCCCAGTGGCTTCAGGGGAACCCCCCAGGCCTGGAACAATGGAGACAGCTGGTACATGCCAGGCCCCGCCAAGAACAGCCAGCCCTGCCTTGCACCCACACCACGCCCGTGCCAGCCCCGCTGCCTACCAGCACTTGGCTCGTCTCCTGCTTGAGGATGGCAATGCGCTGTCCGTACACCTCAACCAGCACTTCGCGCACGTAGGACACCCTGCTGTTGCCACGATGCTCGTTCTTGGCCTCCACATTGAAGTAGGGCAGGGAGGTGGTGTTGGAGCACACTTTGGCCAGGGTGTAGGTGCAGTTGCCCATGAAGTTGTGCGTCACCTTGTCAAAGGTGTTGTAGTGAGGGTCCCCGTGGACGTGACAGATGCCGTAGGAGTGTTCGAGGCACACGGGTTTCCCACCCTGCACCCCGCAGTACTGGCCCGCAGGGCATGAGGCTTCGAAACACTGGACTTTGCTTCCCTGTGCAGGACACGTGCACTTGGAGGAGCAGCTGTTGTCCGTCCAGAACTCGGAGCCCACCGGGTAGTGCTGCCCGTTGTGCCAACACCCGCACTGCTGGCTGGGCACACATCGGTCGTGGTAGAGCAGGTACCCGCTGTCACACACACAGCCCTCCACGCATGGCAGGCTGCAGGTGACTGGAGCCATTGGGTCAACACAGGTGGCAGGGCAGGCAGCAGCACAGGGCTCATAGTGACTGTTGGCCGGACAGGTGATCGCTGCAGAAACAGAAGATGTGGCAATTACTTGCAGAACATAACTCAACACTTCTTTTGAGGTATTTTCCCCTTTGAAAAAGTAACGGTCTCTGTTTTCCCTCTGGTCTGCTTGGCTCCATGTGTGTTCTCAGTCCTACCCAATCAAATGAAACAGCAAATGTGATGGTGCCTCTAATACAGACAACTCCCTGTGAATCCCCGCAGTTCACAGTGAGAATATTTCTCTGCCTCACTCTTTCCTTCCTGTCCTGTGTTTTCCCGAGAGTGACGATCTGTGCTACCACGTGTGGACTTACGGCAGAAGGTTGTGTTCCTCCACACGGGTATCTGGACCCCAAGGGCCTGACAGGCATCCACATAGGACTGCAAGCTCTTGCACAGGGTCTCCTGGTCCAGCCCCAGCTCACACAGGTCATAGGAGCAGGTCTCAAAGTAACTGCTGGGGCTCAACACAGCGTGGCAGATCTGAAAGGGGCCACTGGTGTCAATGAGGAGCCCACAGAAGGGGCTGCTGGCGATCACCTGCTTGTCCGTGTCATTGCAGGCTGGGGTGGGGAGTGATCCGGCTGAGCAGCTGTGGAAAGACAGGGAGAAGGGCCCCTGGGTCATCTCTGGGCTTCTCCTGGTGTCTCCTCCTCCCCTTGCCTGACGTGTCCCCAGACCTGCTGGGGAGGCACACCCACCTGCTGTTTTTGGACACCTCCCAGCTGTTGCCCAGGCTGGTAGAGTCTGGCTCCAGCATCCCTTCTGGGTTCAGGAAGTCATCTGCTGCCATCCCGTTGTAGTTCCCACACATGCCACAAACCTTCTGCCCAAAGGTGCTTGGAAGTGTCACCTCCACCCGATGGACCCCATCAAACTTCACTCTCAAGCCAAAGTCTGTCATGACCATAGTGTAGAACCCACTGGACAAGACCTGCACACCTGCGGATGGGCTGCAAGGCAGGATCTCTGCCACTCCATTCACCTGGAGGGACAGGAAGCAAGACAGGATTGAAGCAACCCATTTGGCACAGCTCTTTCCTCTTGCACAGCCCCACAGGCTCTCCCCTGGGGCTTACCGTCACCACTCCACCCTGCCCCAGCCTTATCCGCTGGTCAGCCACATCGACATCCACGTATCGGACGTAGGACACACGAGTGTTGCTCCCCCTGTGCTCGTTGGCTGCTTCCACGTTGAAGTAGGGCAGGGAGCTGTTGCTCTCACACAGTTTGGAGAGGGTGTAAGTGCAGGTGCCCATGAAGCTGTGTAGCTGTTTGTCAAATGTGTGGTAGTGAGGGTCTCCTTCCACCACACAGGTCCCTGACAGTGGAAAGATCAGAGGGCAAGTTTAGTTGAGCACTACCCACTGCCTCTTATCCCCAGCCTAAAAGGGGCTGTGGCCCCATGACTGGTCTACTGCTTTTACAGAGAGACAGAGTCATTAGACATCTCTGTCAAAATAGGATTCATTTTCCCAGGCATGATGTTCACACCTACTCAAACACATTCATTGCAGAAGCACACACGACCCACACCAACTTGGAAGAGGTTCCAATCTGTGTCTTATTATGGAGGGAGATGGACACAAGGCAAATAACAGCCCTCAAACGTAAATGCAAGTAGTAGCCAGCGTGGGTTTTGAAGACGACTCAGAATGCTACCAAAAATAGCAGTACCTGAGGTCGTCCCCGGTGGTGCTGTTGGTAGTCTTGGTGTTGTCTGCGTCGTGATGTTAGGCAGTGGGGTTGAGGGTCTAGGAGGAAGTGGACCTATGAAGAGACAGAGGAAGAAATGGGCAGTGTCAGCATGGGCGTTTTGTTGCATGCAGCTTGTCCACCCTTCCCAAAAAACCCAGCATTCTGACTCAAGAGACCCAGGGCAGTACCTGAGGTCGTCCCCGGTGGTGCTGTTGGTAGTCTTGGTGTTGTCTGCGTTGTAGTGCCTGGCTGTGGGATTGTGGGTGTTGCTGTTGATGCACCTAGCAGAAGGGACAGTTAGAGGAGATGTGCACCAGCATGGGAGTTTTCTTGCAGGCAGCTGCGTCCTTCACCCTTCTGAAGCACCCAACTCCATTACCAGGCATGCCCAGAAGAGACAGTGAAGCGTGTCATCTCAGGAAGAACCCTCCCACCCAAGGGCCCAGCCAGCAGCGCAGCTGGGTGACAAAAGCAAGTAAGGCACTTCAGTCCCATGGTCAATGTCCTGTCTGTGGGCCTTGTAACACATGAACTAAACCAGCCATTGCCAGTGCTCCAGTCTCCCAGGAGAAAGCCGGCTTGGGCACAGGAGGCATCAGTGCCCTACAGGGCACCGCAGAGACAGCCTGTGCTCCTGCCTCTAGCACAGCCTGCCAGCTCAGTTGGTGACATGTCTCAAGCTGCCCTTTCCCAAGCCAAGCCTTGTACCTGCACAGGATCCCTTTTCAATGGACAGGTCATCCAATGCTACGTTGCTCCGGGCGTCTTCGCCCCACTGTCCCTCCAGCAAAATCTAAGGGAAGGAATTGTTCCCAGCATTAGCTCTGGCCGCACGTGTGAAGCGCCGTTAGAAAGGACAGTTCCTCTTAGGTGGCAGTGAGAGCCTGTGCCCTTACCTGCGTATTTCCTGTGATGTGCACCGTCACCTCTCCCAAGTGCCACGTGTCCCCATGGTTCCCTTCTTGATTCCACACCTCCACTTGCTCAGAGTCCTTTGCCACGTACACCCGCAGGGCCATTTCAGAGTTTCCGTACATGTGGTACCAGAAGCGGAAGCAGTGGGTTCCTTCCCAACTGCACACCGGACCGACCAGGACAGCCACAAACCCGGAGAGAGCATCATCAGTCCCTCTCAGGTAGATGTAGTAGCCGTCTGAAACCAAGCATGGGCCACACTGTCACACACACATCAAATCTAGACAAAGCAGCCAGGGACAACCCAAGCCCAGTCCTGGGAGGGCCGAAGCTGCAGTTTCAGGCAGGCAAAAGGAGTGGGGAGCAAACACAGGGCCTTCACGAGCCACAAGCCTCCTGGACCCGAGTGCCCCTACAAAGGTGCTCTCTGGGCCACGGTAGCTGCATGTCTTGGCCTGGGCAACGGCACCACCTCCAAAGCATTGCCAGAGCCCTTGTGCGGCTCTGCAGCTTCGGAGACTCAGTCCTCACCTTGTTGTTTGGAGAGGCCAGCCTCTCTGTCTAACAGAGAGACAGACCCGTTCCTGTTCCCCAGAGACAAACGGCTCATCAAGCTCTGCATTACTTTCTCCCCCATGTGGCAGGCCCTGGCCTGCCCTGCGGCTACCACGGACTGATTTCCAGGGCTGGAAATCTTCCCAAAGGAAGCCTCTGGCTCTGGGAGACTCTGCTTTAAATTTCTCTGGATCAAGACCAGGAAAGATGTGGCCTGTGTTTGCTGTTAGCAGAAGTTTAGGGGTATCTTCCCAGGGACACTCCCCAGCGTGTGTCCTGATTGCTGTTCCTACCTCCAGTTGTGTGGTCAGAGGAGGGGCCGGTATTTGGTGTGGGCGTTGGGCCTCTGTTCCTTATCCAGTCAATGCTGCTGTAGTCTGCCTGCACCCAGCCACAGAAGTCCTTGTCGAATGTGCAGGTGAAATTGCAGTCTGTCGGGGGAGCTGGACGTGGTGCAGAAAGGAAAGCAGAGGTTGTAGAGTGAAGGCGGGGCCACCTTTTCCCACTGTCACACAGTGCTCACGTACAGCCACATACACACCCATGGTATGCCCGTGGCCAGGTGAGGGTGGCCAGCTGAGGGGAAAGGCTTAGCACAGCCAGTAAAAAACATGGATGGGAGACAACCGTACCTGTGCTTGTCCCAGGTGCCGGTGAGGCTGTTGTATGTGGAGGCCGTGTTGTAGTGTCTGGCAAGGGGGGCGAGGGGGTAGGAGCTGATGAATGAAAGAGAGTGAACCAGAGGTGGAGAAGGTGTGTTTTGTAAGGGGATTTGTTCCCAAATGGGGATGTTGCACCCTTCCCAAACACCACCGCACCATGGCAAAAGAACTGTAGGACAGGGATTCCACAGTGTCCCCGTCCCAAAGAGTCTCTTCACCCGAGGCCTGGCACACCAGGCCAGTGAGGTGCTACCAACAATAGCAGTACCTGAGGACGTCCCCGGTGGTGCTGTTGGTGGTCTTGGTGTTGTCTGCGTTGTGATGTTAGGCAGTGGGGTTGAGGGTCTAGGAGGAAGTGGACCTATGAAGAGACAGAGGAAGAAATGGGCAGTGTCAGCATGGGCGTTTTGTTGCATGCAGCTTGTCCACCCTTCCTGAAAAACCCAGCATTCTGACTCAAGAGACCCAGGGCAGTACCTGAGGTCGTCCCCGGTGGTGCTGTTGGTAGTCTTGGTGTTGTCTGCGTTGTAGTGCCTGGTTGTGGGATCGTGGGTGTTGCTGTTGATGCACCTAGCAGAAGGGACAGTTAGAGGAGATGTGCACCAGCATGGGAGTTTTCTTGCAGGCAGCTGCATCCTTCACCCTTCTGAAGCACCCAACTCCATTACCAGGCATGCCCAGAAGAGACAGTGAAGCGTGTCATCTCAGGAAGAACCCTCCCACCCAAGGGCCCAGCCAGCAGCACAGCTGGGTGACAAAAGCAAGTAAGGCACTTCAGTCCCATGGTCAATGTCCTGTCTGTGGGCCTTGTAACACATGAACTAAACCAGGCATTGCCAGTGCTCCAGTTTCCCAGGAGAAAGCCGGCTTGGGCACAGGAGGCATCAGTGCCCTACAGGGCACCGCAGAGACAGCCTGTGCTCCCTCCTCTAGCACAGCCTGCCAGCTCAGTTGGTGACATGTCTCAAGCTGCCCTTTCCCAAGCCAAGCCTTGTACCTGCACAGGATCCCTTTTCAATGGACAGGTCATCCAATGCTACGTTGCTCCGGGCGTCTTCGCCCCACTGTCCCTCCAGCAAAATCTAAGGGAAGGAATTGTTCCCAGCATTAGCTCTGGCCGCACGTGTGAAGTGCCGTTAGAAAGGACGGTTCCTCTTAGGTGGCAGTGAGAGCCTGTGCCCTTACCTGCGTATTTCCTGTGATGTGCACCGTCACCTCTCCCAAGTGCCACGTGTCCCCATGGTTCCCTTCTTGATTCCACACCTCCACTTGCTCAGAGTCCTTTGCCACGTACACCCGCAGGGCCATTTCAGAGTTTCCGTACATGTGGTACCAGAAGCGGAAGCAGTGGGTTCCTTCCCAACTGCACACCGGACCGACCAGGACAGCCACAAACCCGGAGAGAGCATCATCAGTCCCTTGCAGGTAGATGTAGTAGCCGTCTGAAACCAAGCATGGGCCACACTGTCACACACACATCAAATCTAGACAAAGCAGCCAGGGACAACCCAAGCCCAGTCCTGGGAGGGCCGAAGCTGCAGTTTCAGGCAGGCAAAAGGAGTGGGGAGCAAACACAGGGCCTTCACGAGCCACAAGCCTCCCTGGACCCGAGCGCCCCTACAAAGGTGCTCTCTGGGCCACGGCAGCTGCATGTCTTGGCCTGGGCAACGGCACCACCTCCAAAGCATTGCCAGAGCCCTTGTGCGGCTCTGCAGCTTCGGAGACTCAGTCCTCACCTTGTTGTTTGGAGAAGCCAGCCTCTCTGTCTAACAGAGAGACAGACCCGTTCCTGTTCCCCAGAGACAAACGGCTCATCAAGCTCTGCATTACTTTCTGCCCCACGTGGCAGGCCCTGGCCTGCCCTGCGGCTACCACGGACTGATTTCCAGGGCTGGAAATCTTCCCAAAGGAAGCCTCCGGCTCTGGGAGACTCTGCTTTAAATTTCTCTGGATCAAGACCAGGAAAGATGTGGCCTGTGTTTGCTGTTAGCAGAAGTTTAGGGGTATCTTCCCAGGGACACTCCCCAGCGTGTGTCCTGATTGCTGTTCCTACCTCCAGTTGTGTGGTCAGAGGAGGGGCCGGTATTTGGTGTGGGCGTTGGGCCTCTGTTCCTTATCCAGTCAATGCTGCTGTAGTCTGCCTGCACCCAGCCACAGAAGTCCTTGTCGAATGTGCAGGTGAAATTGCAGTCTGTTGGGGGAGCTGGACGTGGTGCAGAAAGGAAAGCAGAGGTTGTAGAGTGAAGGTGGGGCCACCTTTTCCCACTGTCACACAGTGCTCACGTACAGCCACATACACACCCATGGTATGCCCGTGGCCAGGTGAGGGTGGCCAGCCAAGGGGAAAGGCTTAGCACAGCCAGTAAAAAACATGGATGGGAGACAACCGTACCTGTGCTTGTCCCAGGTGCCGGTGAGGTTGTTGTATGTGGAGGCCGTGTTGTAGTGTCTGGCAAGGGGGGCGAGGGGGTAGGAGCTGATGAATGAAAGAGAGTGAACCAGAGGTGGAGAAGGTGTGTTTTGTAAGGGGATTTGTTCCCAAATGGGGATGTTGCACCCTTCCCAAACACCACCGCACCATGGCAAAAGAACTGTAGGACAGGGATTCCACAGTGTCCCCGTCCCAAAGAGTCTCTTCACCCGAGGCCTGGCACACCAGGCCAGTGAGGTGCTACCAACAATAGCAGTACCTGAGGACGTCCCCGGTGGTGCTGTTGGTGGTCTTGGTGTTGTCTGCGTTGTGATGTTAGGCAGTGGGGTTGAGGGTCTAGGAGGAAGTGGACCTATGAAGAGACAGAGGAAGAAATGGGCAGTGTCAGCATGGGCGTTTTGTTGCATGCAGCTTGTCCACCCTTCCTGAAAAACCCAGCATTCTGACTCAAGAGACCCAGGGCAGTACCTGAGGTCGTCCCCGGTGGTGCTGTTGGTAGTCTTGGTGTTGTCTGCGTTGTAGTGCCTGGTTGTGGGATCGTGGGTGTTGCTGTTGATGCACCTAGCAGAAGGGACAGTTAGAGGAGATGTGCACCAGCATGGGAGTTTTCTTGCAGGCAGCTGCATCCTTCACCCTTCTGAAGCACCCAACTCCATTACCAGGCATGCCCAGAAGAGACAGTGAAGCGTGTCATCTCAGGAAGAACCCTCCCACCCAAGGGCCCAGCCAGCAGCACAGCTGGGTGACAAAAGCAAGTAAGGTACTTCAGTCCCATGGTCAATGTCCTGTCTGTGGGCCTTGTAACACATGAACTAAACCAGGCATTGCCAGTGCTCCAGTCTCCCAGGAGAAAGCCGGCTTGGGCACAGGAGGCATCAGTGCCCTACAGGGCACCGCAGAGACAGCCTGTGCTCCTGCCTCTAGCACAGCCTGCCAGCTCAGTTGGTGACATGTCTCAAGCTGCCCTTTCCCAAGCCAAGCCTTGTACCTGCACAGGATCCCTTTTCAATGGACAGGTCATCCAATGCTACGTTGCTCCGGGCGTCTTCGCCCCACTGTCCCTCCAGCAAAATCTAAGGGAAGGAATTGTTCCCAGCATTAGCTCTGGCCGCACGTGTGAAGTGCCGTTAGAAAGGACGGTTCCTCTCAGGTGGCAGTGAGAGCCTGTGCCCTTACCTGCGTATTTCCTGTGATGTGCACCGTCACCTCTCCCAAGTGCCACGTGTCCCCATGGTTCCCTTCTTGATTCCACACCTCCACTTGCTCAGAGTCCTTTGCCACGTACACCCGCAGGGCCATTTCAGAGTTTCCGTACATGTGGTACCAGAAGCGGAAGCAGTGGGTTCCTTCCCAGCTGCACACCGGACCGACCAGGACAGCCACAAACCCGGAGAGAGCATCATCAGTCCCTCGCAGGTAGATGTAGTAGCCGTCTGAAACCAAGCATGGGCCACACTGTCACACACACATCAAATCTAGACAAAGCAGCCAGGGACAACCCAAGCCCAGTCCTGGGAGGGCCGAAGCTGCAGTTTCAGGCAGGCAAAAGGAGCGGGGAGTAAACACAGGGCCTTCACGAGCCACAAGCCTCCCTTGACCCGAGCGCCCCTACAAAGGTGCTCTCTGGGCCACGGCAGCTGCATGTCTTGGCCTGGGCAACGGCACCACCTCCAAAGCATTGCCAGAGCCCTTGTGCGGCTCTGCAGCTTCGGAGACTCAGTCCTCACCTTGTTTGGAGAAGCCAGCCTCTCTGTCTAACAGAGAGACAGACCTGTTCCTGTTCCCCAGAGACAAACGGCTCATCAAGCTCTGCATTACTTTCTGCCCCACGTGGCAGGCCCTGGCCTGCCCTGCGGCTACCACGGACTGATTTCCAGGGCTGGAAATCTTCCCAAAGGAAGCCTCTGGCTCTGGGAGACTCTGCTTTAAATTTCTCTGGATCAAGACCAGGAAAGATGTGGCCTGTGTTTGCTGTTAGCAGAAGTTTAGGGGTATCTTCCCAGGGACACTCCCCAGCGTGTGTCCTGATTGCTGTTCCTACCTCCAGTTGTGTGGTCAGAGGAGGGGCCGGTATTTGGTGTGGGCGTTGGGCCTCTGTTCCTTATCCAGTCAATGCTGCTGTAGTCTGCCTGCACCCAGCCACAGAAGTCCTTGTCGAATGTGCAGGTGAAATTGCAGTCTGTCGGGGGAGCTGGACGTGGTGCAGAAAGGAAAGCAGAGGTTGTAGAGTGAAGGTGGGGTCACCTTTTCCCACTGTCACACAGTGCTCACGTACAGCCACATACACACCCATGGTATGCCCGTGGCCAGGTGAGGGTGGCCAGCCAAGGGGAAAGGCTTAGCACAGCCAGTAAAAAACATGGATGGGAGACAACCGTACCCGTGCTTGTCCCAGGTGCCGGTGAGGTTGTTGTATGTGGAGGCCGTGTTGTAGTGTCTGGCAAGGGGGGCGAGGGGGTAGGAGCTGATGAATGAAAGAGAGTGAACCAGAGGTGGAGAAGGTGTGTTTTGTAAGGGGATTTGTTCCCAAATGGGGATGTTGCACCCTTCCCAAACACCACCGCACCATGGCAAAAGAACTGTAGGACGCACACCAGGCCAGTGAGGTGACAGGTGGGGAAACCTCCAGCACAGCTGTCCCATTCCTTGAATCAGGGAAAGAGTCAGGGAAATCAAAGGAGATGGACAGAAGACTTACCACAGACAGTGCCAGCACTCCAGTCTCCCAGGGCAACCCCTGCCTCCGTACAGGCTGTGGCATAGGCCCCCAGGTCATTGCAGAGCTGCTCCGTGCTGTTGCCCGTGGCACACTGGTCATAGACACAGCTCTCAAAGTAGGTCTGGGGTGGCAGAACTGCATGGCACGGCTGGAACGGGCCACCCAGATGCGTGAGGATTGAACACTGCTTGTTAGCTGCCTCCTCCTCGGCAGGGGAGCAGGACACAGGCGGGCCGATGGCTGGGTCACACCTACACAGCAGACAGACAGCCCTGAGCTCACCGCAGCCACACCATTTCCTCACCTCCTCCCCAGACAAAACCTCAGCTTCCGGAGCCCAGATCCCCCCCTAAGACAGGCACCAACGGCATCGCTTGCAAGGGTGGAACGCATGGCCCGCAGTCACCAGTCCCACCCCTGGAATCAGGTGGACAGAAGAAAATGCCTCAGGCTGTTGCGATCCCAACAACTTGGGAAAAGTGTCATGCCCAGGCCCTGGACCACCCTCCCAGAGGTCAAGAAACTGCCTCTTCTCCCTTGGCCCATGCCTGCCATCACCAACCCTTCCTCCTGATGGCCCTCATAGCTCCCCTCTCCCAAACTCCCTCTTGTCCTTCATCTGCAAGATAGATCAGGGACTCACGGCCACTCATCATCCGGCACCATCCAGCTGGCTCCAAAGTCATTGAAGTCGGGCACGACAACTCCATCGGGGCGCGTGAAGTCGTCCTGCTGGCTCCCAGTGTACGTCCCACACAGCCCACAGAGCTTGCCCTTGTGCTTCTCAGACACCTTCACGAGGAGCTCGTGGTCCCCGTTGAACTGCAGCTGCAGGCCCAGCTTGGTGGAAACATGCACGTAGGAGCCGCTCAGGGAAATGGTCACACCGGGGGCAGGAGAAGCAGGCAGGGAGACCAGAGCACCGTTGACCTGGAGTAGGGGGAAAGAGGGAAGCATAAAGAGGTGCCCTCTGCTGAGAGGTCCCTGTTCCTCACTGGGGTGGTGCCAGGGCCCAGTGAGTCGGAAGCACTGATGGCATGAGAAACCCTGCCCAGGCCTACGAGGACACCAGCAGCTCTACATACGGCCCAGCCAAAAGTCAGGAAACCAGCCCAAAATCTGCGGCTGCACGAGCAGCCACATCTGCCTCACTCAGAGCCTCGCCAGGCTCTTCTGCGAGCGCACAGCAGGCTGAGGGAATAGCAAGCTCTCCCTGGGGACAGAGTGGTATTTAGGGGTGCTTAGTGCATCTGTGGTTCCCAGGGGTAAAAGTGAGGGGCTTACGTAGACGGCCTTGCGCTCGCGCAGTGCAACGTGGAGGCCTTCCAGGGACAGTGCCACAGAGTTCAGAGCTGTCCAGCTCTGGCTGCCACGATGTTCGTTGCGGGTGGTGACACTGAACCCGATGGAGGAGTTGTCACAGCCTGTCACAACGGTGTAGTTGCAGGAGCCCTGGAAGTGGTGAAGCTTCCCATCGAAGGTGCTGTAATGCGGGTCACCGTAGATGTGGCAGAGCGCAGTGCTGGCTGGGTAACAGCCCCTCTGGCCGTTCTGGATCTTGCAGACCTCCTCCTCGCCACAGGACAAGGCAGAGCAAACCATCTGGCTGTTGGCTTCACACCAGCACCGGCGAGTGCAATTCTCATTCACGAAGTACTCGCCTTCCTGCAGGAACGGAAACGCCAAACATCAGTGTAGGACGCAGGAAAACTGAGGGAAAGGAGTCCCTGGGAGGGGTGCAAACCAGGGCAGGGCTTTCACTCACGCTGTAGTAGTTGTCCTCAAAGAGGCAGCCACACTGGGCCTCGGGCACACAGGTGTCTCCGCTGAGGAGGAAGCCAGAGGTACACGCACAGCCCTCCACGCAGGGCTTGGAGCAGTTCTGTGGGGCTTGTCGGTCAACACAGGTGGCAGGACAGCCGGTCATGCAAGGGTCATAGGAGCTGTTGGAAGGACACTTCAGGGCTGCAATGGGAAGGGGACAATTAGGACCAGCAAGACTTCAAGCAAGGAAGGCCTTCTTGGAGGGGGAAGGCCAAATACTGTCTTTGGTCAGAGGTTCTGGGCAAGGGGAGCGGCACATTTCCCTTCTGGCAAGGGCAAGACAGGTACTCACGGCAGAAGGTAGCATTCCTCCAGGGCAGAAGAGTCACGCCGGCTGCCTGGCATGCGTCAGCATAGGCCTCCAGAGCAGCACACAGAAACTCCTGGCCACCATTCAGGGCACAAAGGTCATACAGGCAGGTGTCAAAGTAGCTCTGGGGGTTGATCACGCTGTGGCACGTCTCAAAAGAGCTGGGCGTGCTGGTCAGTATGCCACAGAAGCGGTCCGACTTGTAGAGCTCCTCCTCCTCTGCACTGCAGGGTGGGGAGGGGACGGGGACACCGCAAGAGGGGTCACTGTCTGGGACCTGCCAGCTCTCCCCCAGCGCATTGGAGTCTGCGGCTTGCTGCCCGTTGGGCATCATGTATTCGTCGTCTCTCCGGTTGTTGAAGTTCCCGCACATGCCACAGGTCAGGTTGAAGTAGGTGGTGGGCACCTTCACCTCCACTGAGTGGTCAGTGTCGTAGGACACTGTGAGGCTGAAGTCTGTCTCCAGGACAATGTAGCGGCCGCTCTTACTCACCGTGATCGCACCTCCCGCTGCCCTCACCGGCAGGGTCTGGCGCACGCCGTTCACCTAGGGCAGACACAGCACCATGGGCCCTGGACTTGTCCCTGGCCTCCCCGGGGTCTCCTGCCTGGGGAAAGCAGCTGCCAGGCCAGGCACGGCAAACAGCTGCCTGGGATACCCTCACACCCCACACCCCTGGGGCCCACAGAGCCGTGTCTGGGTCCTGCGCTCTGCAGGGGCCTCTGCTCAACACAGAGCACATTCCTTGGTTGCCCCTTCCTCCTCCAACCCCTCTGGAAGGGAAAAACAAAGGAACCCAGTGGCTTCAGGGGAACCCCCCAGGCCTGGAACAATGGAGACAGCTGGTACATGCCAGGTCCCGCCAAGAACAGCCAGCCCTGCCTTGCACCCACACCACACCCGTGCCAGCCCCGCTGCCTACCAGCACTTGGCTCGTCTCCTGCTTGAGGATGGCAATGCGCTGTCCGTACACCTCAACCAGCACTTCGCGCACGTAGGACACCCTGCTGTTGCCACGATGCTCGTTCTTGGCCTCCACATTGAAGTAGGGCAGGGAGGTGGTGTTGGAGCACACTTTGGCCAGGGTGTAGGTGCAGTTGCCCATGAAGTTGTGCGTCACCTTGTCAAAGGTGTTGTAGTGAGGGTCCCCGTGGACGTGACAGATGCCGTAGGAGTGTTCGAGGCACACGGGTTTCCCACCCTGCACCCCGCAGTACTGGCCCGCAGGGCATGAGGCTTCGAAACACTGGACTTTGCTTCCCCGTGCAGGACACGTGCACTTGGAGGAGCAGCTGTTGTCCGTCCAGAACTCGGAGCCCACGGGGTAGTGCTGCCCGTTGTGCCAACACCCGCACTGCTGGCTGGGCACACATCGGTCGTGGTAGAGCAGGTACCCGCTGTCACACACACAGCCCTCCACGCATGGCAGGCTGCAGGTGACTGGAGCCATTGGGTCAAAACAGGTGGCAGGGCAGGCAGCAGCACAGGGCTCATAGTGACTGTTGGCCGGACAGGTGATCGCTGCAGAAACAGAAGATGTGGCAATTACTTGCAGAACATAACTCAACACTTCTTTTGAGGTATTTTCCCCTTTGAAAAAGTAACGGTCTCTGTTTTCCCTCTGGTCTGCTTGGCTCCATGTGTGTTCTCAGTCCTACCCAATCAAATGAAACAGCAAATGTGATGGTGCCTCTAATACAGACAACTCCCTGTGAATCCCCTCAGTTCACAGTGAGAATATTTCTCTGCCTCACTCTTTCCTTCCTGTCCTGTGTTTTCCCGAGAGTGACGATCTGTGCTACCACGTGTGGACTTACGGCAGAAGGTTGTGTTCCTCCACACGGGTATCTGGACCCCAAGGGCCTGACAGGCATCCACATAGGACTGCAAGCTCTTGCACAGGGTCTCCTGGTCCAGCCCCAGCTCACACAGGTCATAGGAGCAGGTCTCAAAGTAACTGCTGGGGCTCAGCACAGCGTGGCAGATCTGAAAGGGGCCACTGGTGTCAGTGAGGAGCCCACAGAAGGGGCTGCTGGCGATCACCTGCTTGTCCGTGTCATTGCAGGCTGGGGTGGGGAGTGATCCAGCTGAGCAGCTGTGGAAAGACAGGGAGAAGGGCCCCTGGGTCATCTCTGGGCTTCTCCTGGTGTCTCCTCCTCCCCTTGCCTGACGTGTCCCCAGACCTGCTGGGGAGGCACACCCACCTGCTGTTTTTGGACACCTCCCAGCTGTTGCCCAGGCTGGTAGAGTCTGGCTCCAGCATCCCTTCCGGGTTCAGGAAGTCATCTGCTGCCATCCCGTTGTAGTTCCCACACATGCCACAAACCTTCTGCCCAAAGGTGCTTGGAAGTGTCACCTCCACCCGATGGACCCCATCAAACTTCACTCTCAAGCCAAAGTCTGTCATGACCATAGTGTAGAACCCACTGGACAAGACCTGCACACCTGCGGATGGGCTGCAAGGCAGGATCTCTGCCACTCCATTCACCTGGAGGGACAGGAAGCAAGACAGGATTGAAGCAACCCATTTGGCACAGCTCTTTCCTCTTGCACAGCCCCACAGGCTCTCCCCTGGGGCTTACCGTCACCACTCCACCCTGCCCCAGCCTTATCCGCTGGTCAGCCACATCGACATCCACGTATCGGACGTAGGACACACGAGTGTTGCTCCCCCTGTGCTCGTTGGCTGTTTCCACGTTGAAGTAGGGCAGGGAGCTGTTGCTCTCACATAGCTTGGAGAGGGTGTAAGTGCAGGTGCCCATGAAGCTGTGTAGCTGCTTGTCAAATGTGTGGTAGTGAGGGTCTCCTTCCACCACACAGGTCTCTGACAGTGGAAAGACCAGAGGGCAAGTTTAGTTGAGCACCTCCTGCTGCCTCTTCTCACCAGATCACCGTGCTCAAAGAGCATCTGACCCATAACTGGTCTGTACTCACCTGTGCCTGGCATGGGTGTTGATGTGGGTGTTGACGTGGGTGTTGACGTGGGTGTCTCTTCTGAAGGTGTGGTGATGGTGGTGCCTGGTGTGGTTGGAGTCATTTCTACAAAAGAGAGAATGATATAAAGAAATGAATCCTCCTTGACCAGCTTATGTTCTGACAATTGTTCTGACAATGCTCTTCTAGGTCTAATGAACACGTATTCATGAAACATTTGAAGATGTTATAATGAAATGAGTAGAAGTAAGCAGTACTGAAAAATTGACTATAAAACATGAAATTTTAAGTGTCTGAGAATGTGTGGTTTTTTACAAATCCCTTCCTCAGTTGTCATCATAATGCATTAAGATCCTATATTTTTACACTGTGTTAGTCACAATCCTTTGTCATTGCAAATTGCTCAAAGATGTCCTATTTGGCATAGTAGTATTCAGTTGGCTCTCAAAATCCTTTTTAGGTGGAAATCTAGACTTCATAATGAGAATTGTCTGACATTTCTTTTTACTGTTCATAAACTGGTATAAGAACTATTGTTTTGGAATTGGAAAGAGACTACAGAATGGCTTTTCATGTAATAGCCTCATACTTATGCTGTCATTTCTGCTCGCTTTGGTAATCACCTCTGGAGGTTCTAGAAAAAGCAATTTAAAGATACAAGGAAGAAATTTTTTACAATGAGGATGGTGAAACAGTAGAAATATTCATGGTCAGGTTGGATTTTGAGTAACCTTGTCTAGTTGGAGACATCCCTGCTTGTTGCAGGGAGGTTGAACTAGATGATCTTTAAAGGTCCCTTCCAATCCAAACTGTTCTACCATTCTATGAATTTCGTGCCTCTAGCCGTACCTCTGTGTTAACTCATCTGCCTAGATAAGAAGGACCTAAGGCTGCATGGATCTCAAGCTGCAGGATTCTTTTTATTAGTTTTAAAGCCCTTTTTTATGCTTGGTGAAAATTTGGAGCTGTAGATAGTTTGGGTAAGTGATATGCTAACACTTCTCAAAAAGATAAAATATTTTATTAAAGCCAAAGTGGTGATTTGTTAGACAAATGTTCAATTGTCCCTGGCTGAGCACTTAGCTGACAGTGTATGTTGTCTCTCCCAACCCAGTTTTGATAAATAGTCTTGGGTCAAAAGTGTTCAGACATCATGTTCTAAAGCAAATACAGGAAGCCCATTAGAAGCTTAGATTAGAAGCCAAATTTACAGAGATGCTAAGCATTTGAAAGCTTCCTGTGTTTAATTGAATCCCCATTTCTGAAGTTCTGTTCAACTCCTCAGGCATTTGAATTAATATTGGTAGTATAAGGACTTAATTGGATGGTTATTTGCTAAATGACCTAATGACTTACCGCAGATGGTATCTTTCCTCCATTCACCCAGATTTACACCTCCAAGTTCACAGGCAGCAGCATATGCCTCTAAAATCTTGCAGAACTGGTCAGAATCCCCCTCTGTGGCACACAGATCATAGACACAGCTCTCGAAGTACAGCTGTGGGGGAATGTGCCAATGGCAGGCCTGAAAAGGTCCACTATTTTGCAAAACAATTTTGCAGAGTTCTTCATATTCTTTCTCTTTTGCTGTGTCACAAGCAGGCGGCACAACTGAAACTGCATTACACCTGCACGGAAAGTACACAGTAGAGTGGTTAGAGAATAAATCTTTGTATTTTGTTATATCCTGCAAGGCATATCTCAACTACAATAGAATCCTATGCCAAATTCTGCAGATTTCCTGTGTATAGTCATCTTTAGTGTGCCAAACCCAAAAGTGAGAAATATTACAACTTAACTCATAATACCCCATTAAGAATATAATAGTGAATTTGTGATGTATGGCTGTCTATCCATAAAATGAAGTCCAGAAGAAACCAACAAATTAGCTATCCAACACAAGCAAGATAACTTTAATTCCTTATTGCATATAGTAAGGGCAGTAATTTGTATGTGAAAGCATTAATAGACAGATAAATGCCCCTTGCCTATGTTAAGCAAGGTGCAGTTATCTTGCGATCTGAATCTAAGATATATTTAGACTTCTTATAGCAAGAGGGAGGAATATAAAGGAGACATTTTAGGATAAGAAAGTAAGGAAAAATTCAAGTTATATGCATAAAAAGGAGCCCAATCTCAAGTAAAATCTATAAAGCTCATGTGGAAAAGCTCTGAAGGGTGATTTTAAAATGTCAATATTTTCTGTTGAAAACTGGAGTCATTCAAAGGTGAAAACAATAGCAAACCAGTAATATCAAAGAAGGGTTATTATGGAATGTAAGCGATGTATATTAGGCCTATAACTCCATGATTTATGTTTCAGGCACTTTGCTGTTTCCTAAAGTATCATCTGATACTTACGTCCTGTTGTCATCCTTCACTATCCAGCTGTCACCAAATTTATTTGGATCCTGTTCTAGGACTTTATCCGGGTTTAAAAAGTCATCTAGTTGGTTGTCATTGAATGTTCCACAAAGACCACACAGCTGTCCTTTGAGACTTTCATCAACCAGAATGAAAAGCTCCTGGTCACCATCAAACTTAACCTGGATCCCTAGAGAGGTATCAACGACCACGTAGCGTCCTTTTACGGCTACTCTGGCTCCATGGTTCAAATCCACAGGAAGTTTAACCTGAACTCCATCCACCTAAGGAAAACAAAACCCACAAAACCAGGTAAGTCAATAAAGCTCCCAGGAACAAAGGGGAGGTCTGCACTGCCAGCACTATAGTTTTCGCCACCGAGTCAGCCTTATTCTAGTGAACAATGGAGATAACAGAATTTTGAGGTTAAGCAGAGACTAAAGCAGTATACACTTATTTTCTACCTTGAATAGTGCCTTGTAGCACAAGTTTAGCTTTGTGCTGTCACAACTACACACAAAGCAATACTTGGAATAGTTAATTTAAAGCTAAATCTTTGAGACTTAGTCCAGTAAAAGTTTTCTATTATAGATGAAGTCATGGATGAAGCTGTTTCATCCTACAAGCTCATTTAGAAAATATCTGAATAGACAAAAAGACGCTATGCTGATTTCTGCCTTTTTGGGAAAAAAAAATTCTGTGACTTTTAGCATGTGCATTCTTGGAGGTGAATAAATCAGAGAGGGCTGATTCAGTTCTTTTGGGCAGAAATGTAAAGTGCATAGTGATGGACTGTTTATGCTAAAAGTAGAACACTTACATAGGTCTCTCTATTTTTCTTCAAAACAATGTGAAGGTTTTCCAGTGTGACAGAAACTGAGTTCAAGGTTGTCCAGTTCGGGTTTCCTCTATGTTCATTTCTGGTAGTCACTGAGAACTTTTCAGAAGAATTTGTGCATCTCTCAACAACAGTATAATTGCAGTCTCCTTGGAAATGGTACAGTCTTCCATCAAAGGTTATATAATGTGGGTCCCCAAAAATGTGGCAGGTACTGGGATTCAATGGGTAACATCCCAAGAGTCCATTCTGTACCTTGCAAACTTCACTTACTTCACACGTGTCTGAATTGCAAACTACAGTCCCATTTCCAGCACATACACATTGGCCTACACAGTCTGGTTGCCAAAAAGATTCTCCTTTCTGTTAGAGAAATTCAAATAAATACAAATTAGAAGAGTTAATGGTAATGTTGAACTGTGAAACGAGCCCCAGGAATATGTGCCAGAACAAACCTCATAATATTTGTCATTCTGAAGGCAGCCACAGTTGCTCATGGACACACACTGTCCCCCGCTGATGACAAAACCATTGTTGCATTCACATCCTTCTACACAAGGTTTGCTGCAGTTCTTAGATGCAAGAGGATCAGTGCAGGTTGCTGGACAAGCACTGGTGCATGGGTTGTAATGACTGTTGGGAGGGCATGCAACAGCTGAGAAACAATAAAAGGCACTGAATTAACAATCACAATTCACAGGAAACCACTATTCAGTAATGTGATTGTTTTGCCCTAATGACAACTGTACAAGTTTTTTGAAGCCTGAAGTTCTGCTCCTATTCAATATCAGAAAGTAATATAGTAAATATTCCACATGGAAAAAAAAACATGAATGTCTAACAATATATCCTGCATATTAAGTATCTCCAAATCCAAATAAAACTTTGCCTCTCTACACCAGATCTTGTACACAGACGATACATTTCCATGAGTATAGGGATTGCTAAATTGATTAGATGTAGCCTGGAAATTAGCAAGCTGATTCAAGGCAAAACATCATCTAGAACTCAGATGTGATTTCACATTAACAGAGGCATACTGCTTACTGGTTTGATAAAGATTCTTGAGATATTGAACAAAAATCGCCTCTGTTCTCTGGCAGAAAACAATAATGGCAAGACTTTTGCAGAACTTTATTTCTCAATATTTTGTTGTAATTATGTGAAGAATTTAAGATACTTAAGCTGTGTCAATTATTGGCAAAAATCAACCTCTTAAGACAACAACAAAGCTATTGAAAGACTCATTTCACTATGGAAACTCACGGCAGAAGGTAGCATTCCTCCAGGGCAGAAGAGTCACACCGGCTGCCTGGCACGCGTCAGCGTAGGCCTCCAGAGCAGCACACAGAAACTCCTGGCCACCATTCAGGGCACAAAGGTCGTACAGGCAGGTGTCAAAGTAGCTCTGGGGGTTGATCACGCTGTGGCACGTCTCAAAAGAGCTGGGCGTGCTGGTCAGTATGCCACAGAAGCGGTCCGACTTGTAGAGCACCTCCTCCTCTGCACTGCAGGGTGGGG